GAGTACTGTTTTCCATGCCCAATTCGGAGTGGCGTAAACAGAGAGGTGGCCAACCCTTGACTTGGCAGAGGAGTATGAAGGAGATCACGAAACGCTTGGGTGCTGTCGGTGCTACTCGCCTTCCAGGATGGGGACCGCGTGATCCTCACTGTGCCTGGTTGAAGACCGTACAAGATATGGCTGTCAACCGATGTCAGTGGCGTTCTTGTTGTCAGTTTCTACCCAGATCGCCTGAGTGAATGTCTGGAGGTGTAGGCACCTTGGAATGATTGTGTTAATCTATCACTAATTCCCTTCCCCGTCCACCATTCTTTTCTTTACGATAAGGCTTTCAAATAAGTCATGGTTGTACGGCAGTGAAGCATCAGTGTTGAACATGGATATCATGCTGTCGATGATGATTATGGTGTGTGTCTCCGAAACACGCATACAAGACCTAAGCGTGGTTATGCATCTCAGAACGCCAAAGATGAAATCAGCTATTTCACATTTCTCTCTCCGTGTGTCCGGTAACCTAGAAGCGATGACTCGTGAAATGTATGCTGTGGGAGTCGCAGTCAGCCCCAGTGCTGAACGCTCTTTGCTGGATTGGATCCCATTGATCAGTCGTCTTTGTGCCGTCTGGGTGGTGGACCGATTCTGGTCTTGCAGAATAATGTATTGATCTCATCCACCTCATTCCCGTTGGAGCTTAGGCAACTCTGACGTTCCGAACTATACAAGGTCATGTTCCGCCTGACTGCCTTACGAAGGTATGTGTGATAAATTTTGTGTTGTCCGGTACCTTCCTCTACTCAGCGCGTGTGCTTTTTATAACCATTGGACATTTTACACATTCCTGCTCGCTCGGTTTTCATCGGCGATGATTTTTCTCTTGGTCACTGTCGAAACCCCAAAACTTTGAACTGTTTTTAGTGATGAACGCCGATGCGACTTTCTTTAAAAATTTATCTTTTTCGGAAAGTCCATGCAGGATGCTGTGTTGTGCCATCATGATTTTGCATTGTAAGAGATTCGTCGCTGGGTCGTTAACTTTGGCTTTTCATGAAGTCCCATATTTCACTGACTGTTCTGGACTTGCTTTTATGGCTGTCGAGGTTGGTGTAGATTGAGACTGGAGACACGCAAGACAACCGGAGCATTTTTGGTGCAGATAGTTCGGCTTCCCGCATACATTTTTAAAATAATAATCTTCGTAAATTTGTTTTTTAGAAAGGTTAATAAACAACCGGTAGGTGTTGACAGGCCAAATTTCGCTTTTATCGCAGGCTTTGTTGCGCCAAGTGACCAGTTTGCATGGTTGGCCGAATTTTAAGACAGATGGTGAACCAAGCCTTATTGGCACTAGACCAAATTAGTTGAAGGTGTTGAGAGCTTTTCGATTTGTCAGTCACTAGTAGCAAACTACTGGGATAGGGGTGATATTTCAATCAAATTCGGATCGGGTTTTGTGGTATAGCTCTATGGTGCGAATCATATGAGTTAACTATTTCTCCGGTGTTCACGGTTTTGGTGCCCCCCGCGGTTTGGTTAATGCTGCGACAAATCGGTTTTCGGGTTGGGTTATCTAAGGTAGATCCAAATAACTTCCCTTAGTGGCCTCTTTCGAAATAATTCAACATAGCTATGCGTCAACTCATTGATCTAAAATCGCTTTCCACACGCTCGCCGGCTTTATACCCTCCATTATGTTCACACTGCGATACTCGGCGGCTTCCCACGCCTTCTGCAATCTTTCACTGTAGTGTGAATCATAACACCCTATCAGAACTTCCACATTTTCTAAATGTCTTGCATCCTGCGTGTAATTAGTCCCATCTTCGTCGAGGCTTTCACGAGGACCTGATATTCGTCTGCATTTTCTGGTGGTTTGCTCTTCCTTTTCTTGTGCCCTTTAAGCTTCTTGTGTATTTCTATACTTGTTTGTCTTATGTAGACCTCAGTGCAGTCGTTCCACGGAAGTTTCCGTACACACTACTTCATTTAACCGTGACTCGGTTCTTCAGTCACACGAATATTAAGCGCAACGTCTTTCTTTTGGAATACTACTTGAGTGTTGTCCGTTTATAACATCCCCTTAGCAACTTATTTTACCTGAATGCCAGCGATGCTAATCCACTCTATAAGGCGTTTTTGCATCAGGTTAACGGCCAATTGTTTTCTACTTGATCCACGCTTACAGTGTATCATTTCTGATTACAAAAACTAGGTTAAATTGATTCACTCGTGCCTGTCTACTGAATTACCAAGTTACACTGGGAAGGGACTCCACAGCAAGCACCTTCAACTGATATCGTCTTCATCGGTGGAAACCATTGACACTTGGGCTTAACATTTAGCTTCTACGGGTGAACGTTATGACTAGCTTCACACTAAGTTTTGGTTAGTGTCCATATTGTCTTCTCAGTCGACAGGCCCTCCGACTCCGCATGGTTGAGTGCGGACGCTGCCGTATAGCTCAATGAGTCGTGGAGGTACACAGACCATCAATCCGCGGTAAGGCCTAGTCTCTCGGTGACGGGTCAAGTCTCCTCACGCTTGATTGTATTCGATTTTATTTTTTGTTTTCAATCAGTTATTATTGTCACATGGTGTCTTCCCGGTAACCTGATAAACTCGCCTTCGTTACCTCCTTTTTCTTCATTGTTACGGTTGTTCTCCGGGAAGTGTGCTAGCCTTTTCCGTCTCTGTACTTCAATCTTTCAGCCATATAAACAGTCTCTTTTCTTCCGACGACCACCATCAAGTTTTGTTTTCCTGTTGCAGAAATTAGCCGTTTGCTATTTCTCCAGAATGACCGTGAGAGCTCCCCACCGCCTTCCATATCCCCAGTTCTTCAAATGTCTGACCACTTTGTCTCCCTCAACCCCCATTACCCCTTTTTTCACGTAATCCACCATCTCCCTTCACTAAGAAAGTAGAACAATAGCGTAGAACTGTTTTCTTTGGTATTTTCTAAAGTCTTGGTCATTGCTCATCCATACTCACCTGGCAAGAATTCAGTGATTATGCTGGGACAAGCCTTTTTCAACCACCGTTTTCGTACCACGGTTATTACTCTTTCCTTATGCCCTCTTACCAGCCGAACGTTGAATCCGATCCGAAGGTGTCTGCCATTCAGGAAGATTCACGTGATGAATACGATGTGCCTATCGCTCAGCTTATCAAAGCCGCTCCAACCAAGACCGAGTCGAGCTCCGAACCATCACCATCTCCCTTTGTGAGTCCTCGAGAGGACATCAAGCCGGAAAGTCCTGTTAAAACCCGACGCCCCAGCGGTTGCGGCATTCCAGATGCTGTTTTTACCGTATGTTATTTTTGTTGATATGGTGCCTGTTGTTTATGGTAGTTGTCCACGCAGGTACGGCGCGCTCGCACTTCTCAGAAACTCCACCACGGTCAATTTATTGAAAAATGCTTTGTCAGGGACCGTTTCCGAATCTACAGAATAACAGCGCTCATTAAGAGATTTTTAAAGAGGATTTTTGTTACATGAATACCTATGACTATTCTTTCTATTCCACTCGATCAGAGACCAAATTTAAAGTCGGTTGTATTTTCGAAGAAGTTTGGTGACAATCGGTAGATTTATTGCTGTGTAACGTTTCGCTTTTGACACAAAAGCTTCGTCAGGCCAAGTGACTAGGTTCCGAGGTTGATCGAGATTTAAGGTGGAAGGAGAACCAATCAGCTAAGTCATGCTAAATCTCTGTTGGGTGTCGGCCGAGGGATTTTAGTGTGTTAGAGTGGTTGAACAAGTGTTGAGTCGGTGGGGAAACCTACATGTGTTTGGGTCCAGCCTAGGGTGTGAAGCACAACCGTCCATTCAATGTCACCATACTCGGGAGGTTAAAAAATAAGTAGAAGTTCTTCAGACGTCCACTTGAATCGACACTATCCTCTATAGTAAAGCCGAATTTAAACGAAGGTCAAATACAGATAGCTCAAGCCTCTGGTAATTCTATGTTTCTAAAGTGCGCAATTTATTACAGTGGGTGACGAAAAACCGTACTGAAAAAAAACCGAGACAGAGTGGATGGAATTCGTTTTCAGCCGATGAGCTTTCTCCAACTTTTGTCCAATCTCTCTCAGTCCACAAGTTTACGTTTCAGGACAAACAATACCCCCCATTAAGAGAAAATCGTTCCCTGACTGAGTATGAATGAGTATCCTGTCCCTTGTTTTAATTAGCTCAGTTTGGAATGCGGTTCACCCCTTAAACCCATATGATTAAAGGTTTGAGAAAACCGGGATGCAGCTTCACGTTTTTTCTTGTCCCAATCATCATATGCATCATTAGCCGTGTTGCAGCAATGCACTGGGAGGTTTCAAGCAAATGTAAAGTTTGTAAACGCTTTTTACTCTGTTGGTGAATATGAGCCATTCACACAAAGTTTAGAAAGTCGCAGGGGTTGCCACTTGAGCACTCCGCAATGACTTCTCAGGGCGAGATGGCCGAAGTGGTTAGAGCGCAAATTTACTGACCAGAAGGTCCGTGGTTCGAATCCGACCTCCGCCACTCGACTTCCCCTGTCTAGGCTTGGGCTGACTGACAGTATCCCAGTCCTCGTGCTTCCCTCCGGTAGCATGGCAGCTAGGCACCGAAAGGGTGCTACAGCTGAAGGCTTTCTCTTTCTTTCTTTCAATGACTCCTCAAGTTTTTCCGTCAGTGCTTTATTGGCTCGATAGTGTCCTGCTTTTCGAGTTTTACGTGTTAGCTGTGCCTCAGGGCGTGTCACAACTGGGCACTCTTGTCACGTTTAGACTCTGCAGCCGTCGTATGACATTTTCAATACCACAGATTTCGAATATCAGGCGAACACTTCATTTTCCAATGTTAGTGCGGGCACTTATAGTATTTTGGTAGGTATCCTTTCTCCTCAGACATTTCCCTTTGGTAGTTCGCTTACCATTCCCGAAGTTCAGTCTTCGTAGATGAGCTTGTGAGACCTATATTCCACTAGGCTTAACGTAGCTGCGCAACACAGTACAAGTGCTGCTGTTCAGCCGTAGCACCCTTTCGGTGCCTAACTGCTATACCACCAGAATGAAGCACTAGGGCTGGGATACTGCCAGGTTGTCCAAGCCTAGACGGGAAGTCGAGAGGCAAAGGTCGGGTTCGTTTCACGGACTTTCCGGCCAGTAACTTCGCGCTCTAATCACTGAGCCATCTCGTACAAGTACAATTTGAATGTGTTGGTAGGTAATACTGAGAAAATGTTTTTCAAACAAGCCTGTTTGCCTTCAAGTTCGGTTGTCATGGCCCTATTGAAGGTGTGGCATTTTCCGTCCATATATTTCCTTCAATGCTCGGAAGAAATCCTTGTGACTTCGTTGATCTACGTATGACTGGATCTTTTGTCCCTACTCAACCCACCGTTCATTTTTCAACCCGGGTATATATATCTTGCTAGTACCATCACGTGCTCTTCGTTACTTGGCTTTAGGAAATATCTTGCTGGTATACACTGCAACGGTCATTGTGTTCTTTTTGTCTTTCTCCAGGCTATTGCTGGCACTTTCGGGTCAGCTGAGGACGCGAATAAGCTGCAACACCGATACTCTGAACTGCGTGATCGAGCCAATTCCTCACAGGTACGCCGTTTCTCTTTAGACGTGCTTCGCTATCATGCCTTTCTGATAGCAGACAGGCTGCTACTCACTTCTTCGTTATCTCTCGCATATTCTTTATTCCCGTCCACCACCCCATTAACATCACTCCGCCTGTAGGCTCATCCCTTAGGACTGACGACCCCGTTCGCCGTGCATCGATGTTGGCACCAACACCTGGATGTTAGCCGAAAGCATCTCGAAATCAATCTTGAAGCCCCGAAGCCCAGTCTGTGGCTGGTTCTAATGTGCACACTCTGAAGGACAAAAAACTGTTCTTGCTCTCACACTGGACTCGCTTGACATTAATGTGTGCTGTGCATCAGAAACAAGAATTCAAGATACAAGCACACTGGTAGAGCCAACCGCTCCATCACTCTCCACTTGCTTCTGGCTGTGCACCTCTAGCGATCCAGAGGCCACTGCAGCATGATGTACAGGGTTGGGCATCGTCCTCAATAACTGGGCCGATGTAGCCTTGCTTGATAGCCTTGCTGATAGACGCCTCTGTGAGATTCGTCCGGTAACGTCTGTGCGATAATCTTACAAGCAGGAAAGTGATCGAATGTTTGTCGTGTCTGCTTGTGTTTCGAACAACTGTAGCCCCGACAGCATCACACAACCTTGATGACGCACTGGGTGTACTGTTGCAGTGGGCTAAGAACTCAAACATCGTTTCGGTTGTCGGAGATTTGAATAACATGGCAGCGAAGAATCGACGTTGAACGCCGACGACGTTTACTAATGACAGTGAATTTCCTAACTTATTTTGCTTGATCCGAGAGCCACTATCCACTAGGACCTTTAAACCGCAGATATTTGTTTATGGCGAAATGTTTTTCATCATTCCAGTGAAACCGTATGATTCCTTTTAACTAATTCCATCGCCTCCCTCACCAATTTCTCTTACCAGACAGCTGAGGAACCTCTTTCTTGCTCTCCAAACCTTGACAATCTCTTGGAGGTCGCTCTAGTCATGAAGAATGGTCGCAGTTGTCCACCATCCCGATCGGAAGCATTACATTCTTTTCGTGCTTTATTCTGTCGGCGTTGTTTCAAGTACGACTGCGCACTTCATCCCTACAAGTCCACACAGTCGATGTGGAGTCACCGATGGCCAATCACGCACACAACCAACTTGGGTAGATTCAAATTCTTCCGTTTCTGAATATTCTGTTGCACAACCTATGTTTAAGATTGCTTTTTTGCCACTGGCAGTGAGTTCATGACCAACATTAACCATGCTGGTTGCTTTATCGTCGACCCACGTCCCATCGCCCAATACCATCTCCCAGTTATTTACGTTTTGCTGAAGCAGTCATCATCAGCTGTCAGCTGTAAGAACCGTGTACTTGTCGCACATTGGTTGCAGCTGCCACAGTTTCGTTCACCAATGATTTGGGGAGGTGGGGTAGACAGCTGCTCGTTGGAGGCGGGAGTTGATAAATTGATGCGTAAGTACAGCACTGTAGGTGTCAAGGGCGGGATTGCGAAGGGAGCTATGCATTGAAGGCAATAGCTTGGATGCACAAGCAGTGGATGTGCTCTTCTATCAAAATATGCTTCGGTAGCCGGTTTCAGAGCACCTAAAGAGGTATCTAATCCCTTGTTGATTAAATGCGAATAGAATGGCTGATTAGAGCACTTTCAACTCCGTTTGATATGAAGCATTTCGATTGGAAACGAGGGATCTTCGAATCTAGAATGTAATCTCTTGGATATTCGTCAATCTCGATGGTCTACCTTTCCTTCGTTGGTTTCAAAGTGCAATTTTGTTGTACAGTTAAACCAGACATGATTAGTTTTCACCTATAACCAAATTTAAAGCTGTACATGCTTTGTCAAAGCTGACAACGGGGTGGGCGTAAGCATCGGAGGAATTGCGGAAGACCCTAAATTAAGCACCAGTCGAACACATAACATCGAGGCTTTCGCTGGCTTTCCACGATCTGACGCATAAATCGTCGAGCGATTGGGCCCCATAGGCGAAACGGTTTCTGAAGCGTCCGGAGCGAGTCATTTCTTAGTGCCATGCTTTCGAAATCTGAAACTGCTACTCTGGAAAATACCGTTGGTTAGGTCTACTGTTATACTCCGCAACATTTCTGTATATGGTATCCATGGATACCACTGTCCTTGATGTGCCTTAATTTCAACATCAGGTAATTGTGCAGTTCTTAGTCGATAGTGCGTGACTTCTGCTCATCCGCTTGCCTTATTCTCTGTGTTCATTTGCCCTCTATTGCAGAGCCGGACGCACCGTATTGTGGACGCTGGTGTGTGCGGCAGTGTTTGAACAGTTCTACGGACGACTCGCAAGCCATTGTTCAGAACCCCGCAAAAATATCTCAATGCGTTTGGACGCCTGTTGAGATTAGTCTAATCCAAGTTCTCGCTCCCGTATTCATGCCTGTCGGCTACTCGTCCTATCCCCAGTACACTTGGTGTTGCACATTAGCACGTATCCTAGGCACGAAAACCTGTCAAGACGTGAGTTGTCCACTTTATTGTTTGTGTTTTAGAGTTGAATTCCAGGTAACTCTGAGATGAAAGTATCGTCCATATTTTAGTAACCTCGTGATGTTTTATCCTCGCTATTCTTTGAATTTGCTTGCTGAACGGTTAGCGCTGCATTAATTGGCCTCAACTCAATGATTTCCAATTTGTCCGTACTGCGAGATTGTTTGGTAACATGTTTGCCCATGCACGGTGAGTGACGATCGTAATTCAGCCCCAGCGATATTGTGAGTTTCAACTCGGCAAGACTGAAGAATTGGGATAGGTGTCAGTCTCTTCATCCGTCACCCACATCTACTTTTTTTGGGTTGATTTTTCCGGCTTACTTTAGGGAGCAGCTTTGAAAGTTTCAGCCCCAAACTTTGTTAAATTGGGCCTGCTTGATACATCCTCAAGATAGCATATAATACCAAATAGGTTTTCTTTCCTGTTTTTAATTCATTCTCTCCCCTTTGGAATCTGTGATAAGTGGAGCCAATGGAATTGTCGGCATTCCTGCCTCTGGTGGATATTGCTTACTTTCCGATTCCACAGAGTACGACTGTCACTGGTGCCCCAACTACTCCGTTGACCACTTTGGTTACTCACACTAATGTAGGGACGGTCAAGATTTTTCAATCTTTTCTGTTCTGCAGGTGTTAAATTATATCAACAGTCGTCCCACCTCTGGATTGACCAATCCAGACTCTGGACAGATAGCCCAACTGCGCGTTCCAGGTGTTGGTATCGAATGGACCAGGCGCTCTGCCAGTACTGCTTCACTCAATGACGTGGCTGATCCGTCCCTCAACGGCTCATGCAGTGGAAGCATACTCGAAAATGGTGACCCAACGGAAGATAGTACGATCGACTCGGCCACCGTAGCTTACAGTCACTTTTCGTCTCGACGTAAACGATGGAAAAAACGACGGTTGAAGAAAACAATGCTTCCTGGACCATTGGTTCGCAAACTGGGTACGTTCTTTCAGGTTGTCTTGTCACGTTTATTCAGAGAATAATTTCTGGTATACGGTAGTCCAGTATGGGTGCTGATTTCTGTGGACACGAATCAGTATCAGACCAAGGAGAACTACATGAAAATTGCTTCCATTTCCACGCGTCAACGTTCCACTTATTTCGTTAAGTTTCTTCTTACATGGGAGGTGCCAACCATAGTTCGTTCACCTCAACTTCACGAGAAGTGTTGATGTTACCCCATATAGAATAGAATCCGCTAAGTCTCTCCTCTAGCAACATAGCCGTGTCTTATGGTCTTGTACTTGGATAACTCGAACTTGGCCTTTTTTGCTGATTCCAGTAATGATTAACAGAGTGGGATCAATTCTGTGGGAAGCGAATTAGCACCCTGCGGTAAACATAACTCTCCAGCATGAACCTCTGGTTAGACCTAATGGCATCAGATGTCTTACGTAAGCGTGTTTAATTTTGGGATTATGGCAAGCACTTACGCATTCCTTTGACTCAGTCTGGAACTGATCGTTCAGTCGATGGATTTTAGTCCCTGTGTTACTTTGGACGCGTTAGGGAAACGTTTTCCCTTCACTTACTGTTACGGTGTGCAAATAGGTTATTGTTTTAGTTAGATAACGAAGTCGCAGACCCTTTTTCGTCGGGGGTATTCTACCTAGATATAGGAAATCTTACAAAGCTAAATTGCAATGCTACTTGTGGAATCTCCTGCCGACTATTTTCCAGGTGTCATAGTTCTACTGGTGGTCACTGTAGACTAGTCAGTAAATGGCCTTGTGTGTCGAAAGCTGCTCCGAACTTTAACATTTCGTACTTGAAAAGTGTGCAAGTCGAGAATGATTTTCTGGCTGTGCACACCACTTACTATCTTTCGATTTTTTCATCTATGCACAGCTGACTTTTGGCCGATGAAGTGTTCATCGGACAGGCGAATCAGAATTGCAGTGTCTTGTCACAATAGCAAATAGAAGTATAAAATTATCCACTTTGTTTAATTGTTCAAAACCCACCGGTTGACGTTCATGTCTGGTTGTTACTGAATCTGCTTATGCTGCCTCATTTACTGTCATGACACCCTTCAGCCAGTGAGATTGCTATGTGTGACCGCTTTTCCCTTGCTTCTCCTGCTGGCGCATACTTCCATCATCTGCTGTACCTTCCTCGGTTTAGTTCTCGGTCTGAGCCTCCCAAGCTAGCGTTCCCTTCGAAACCAACCACCAAAGGTGCACAACTCATGTTCACACCCAAGACTAGGTAAAAATACTTCACAACAATTTGTTTATAAAACGTGTGCGGCTACAACACTCTGGTAATACTCTCGCCTTCTGGATGCGCCATTGGCAAGTGGCATTCGCCGAATACTTGGTCATGATTAACTGTTGGGTCAAAACTTTCGACTAATCAGACCTCGTCTTGATGCCGGACAGGCTAGCCGCCTGAACTTTTGGCCAGTTTTGTGCGGGATAGGCTTCTCGGCCGTAGCAGCGCCTGGCTGCGGGTAGTATCTGTGTGGAATCTTGCTTAACACTACTGTCGGACCCTTAGCCTCGACTGACAGCATCTAAACGTCATCATATCGAACGCTCACGAATCCACTTTGAGGCCAGATATGATTGTCCTGTAGTTAGCGAGACGGCCACTTGTTAGTCTGAGTGCGGCAGTTTGATTCGGTTTTTCCTTCGTCTGGTTAGTTTTCTTGCTTTCACGGCAACCGGTTTGAAGTTTGCCCATTATGGATTTCGACAGTTGGTTGTGATGGATGTGAAAATGTCCGCTTTGACTACTGGGGCATTGGTATCGATCCCGATGTGTCTACTGCATTGCTAACTTATACCCGGAAACATTCTATCAGCCTACCTTATGTCGAAGTTAATCCAACTTTTTTAAATCTTGTTCACTTACGAATCGTGAAGTCACTCTTATTTCAGATGAAGATGATGAAAGCCACATGAACAGTAACGGGACATCGGGTGGAGGGAACTCATCAGCTGCGAACAACGCCGGCGGTCTTCTGGCTAGTGGCTGTTTCGCTCATCAGTATCATCCTTGTGACCATCCTGGACAGCGATGTGATGAGTACTGTCCCTGTAGGCAAGCCGGTACTTTTTGTGAAAAGTTCTGTCAATGTCCAGCAGAGTGTACGAACAGGTGCGGTCCTTTCCGTAACATAAGTAGCGCTGTTCTTGTTGAAAATACCTCTTATGGCTCTCAATATCATCGTTTTTCTTTTCAGGTTCCTGGGTTGTCGGTGCCGCGGTCAATGTAACACGAAACTCTGTCCATGTTCGCTTGCGGTTCGAGAGTGTGACCCTGACCTCTGTCTCTCTTGCGGTGCCCAACAACCTGGTAGAACATTCGGTCAAAATGGCACAACTTTGGATAACAGTATGATGATTTGCCCCGTATCGTCTTCAGCCAACACAGGAACCTGTCGGAACGTCGCTATCCAAAGGGGTTGGCGTAAGCACCTATTGATGGCGCCGTCTGACGTAGCAGGGTAAGTGAGTTTTTGGGCCTTCGTACCACTTGTTTTGCTACATTTCTGGGTTCAGCTAACCTATGGTCAATTTTCCTAGATGGGGTATATTCATCAAAGACGGGGCCGAGAAAAATGATTTCATCTACGAGTACTGTGGGGAAATAATCAGTCAAGATGAAGCAGATCGTCGGGGTAAGTTTCTTCTCTGTGGATACTTTGCAGTTTCTTTTCAGTAACCTTGTTAGTGTCGCGCTTAATATGGATTCTGACGCTCAATAAAGTTTACAGCTTCACTGTGGCGTATCAACATTACAGCCATTCTTATTCCTAGTGCTTATCACACATGACTTGCGCATGCTTTTTCGGCTTTGCGGCATCCCGTAATATGGAAACTCTTCTGTTCGAGGTCAAGTTTGGCGATATCCCTGATGTTAGTCAGTAACGTTCGAAAAGCTTGGTCAGTCTTCACTTGACTCCCCACTGAGTAATGACAAGTAGTGTGACGCAACTAAATTCAACCGACTGATATTCTGCGTCTCTCTAATGTTTTGCAACTGCTGGATGCTCTTTTCCGTTTTCATCATTTTATCACTCCTATTATTTCTCTATCTAGGTAAAATCTACGACAAAACAATGAGCAGCTTCTTGTTCAACCTCAATCGAGACTTCGTTGTTGATGCGACCCGAAAAGGAAACAAGATACGGTTTGCCAACCATTCTGTCAATCCCAACTGTCACGCTAAGGTCAGCCATATGTTATGCACGCACCTTTCGCCGTCTGGGGTCCGAGTGTGATGTACCGAATGGCATGTTTTGAGTACGCCTAGCACCAACTGTTTGAAAAGTTTGTTTAGTATGTTCGAGCCAACTTTTGTTGGTTTCTAGGCCACTTGTCTGTTTTGGAAGAAGATAGCAACACTTTCTTTCCTTGGTCGACTCGTAATCCGTTACTCAGTAATCCCTGTATCGCGGCTTGCTTAAATGTGAAACACTGAACCAACATTTCATATATTTCTCACCATGAGTGTATAATCAAAGCGCACTCTAAATGGGAGTCTAATAGGATGCCAAAAATGATTTCTTTCTGACTTAGAAACTGTATTCGCCAACGAGCCAGGAAGCGTCGGAAAATGATTGATGATCATCAGTGACCTGCTCTCAACTCCGTCTAGTTGATGCTATAGTGACAGCGTTTGGCTTTATGCTCTGATACCTCAGTCTAGAGCCTTATGATATTTATGTTTCTCAACAGAATGAGCTCAGTATACTTCAGTCACCTTTCGGCTGTTTACTTCCTGATATATGGTGTCAATCACGCTCTCACGGGTATCAAACTTGGTCATAACCGTTCGGAATGCTCTTCAAGTAGGTCAGTTGATGCAGCATAATCTCATAATTAAATTCAAACTGAAACAAACGTAGCATTTCGCTTTTTATTTTCATTCGCGTGTTTAGTCGCTTTATTTTGTTCTTCCCGGAAGCCGGCTGACCAAATGTGAGCCAGTGGAATGCTTTCAAAGATGCATACGGTTGCCCACCAGTTTCGGTGCACCGCTCAGTCACAACGTATGCACCCGGCACAGTGGTGCATGTCAGAGTCGGTACCTTTCAGGACACCATTCGAAGGAGCGTGATCTCTCGCAGACGGGGTCACGCAGTCTCCAGATGAGCTCTGCCAGGCTTACGTTTTTAATTCGTTTCGTGGCCCGGACTGTCTGGCCTGGCCCATTTTGTGTGGTTTTATGTCATAGCGGTGACCAAACCTCGCGATATTCGAATGTTGAATGGGCATGAGAGCACTAAATCTCTACTGGACGACTCAATTTTTTGTCGAGATACAACAGACGTGTGTATGCGGTTGTGATTGTCCCTTCAGTCGGTCGACAAAAGTACAGCAAAACAGTCAACCCGTTTATCACTGATAGTGATGGGAGAAATTGAACTAACCCAGTTGTTAACCCTCAGAAGACGCTTTCGAAACATCAAATATATCCACTTTTTAGGGAGTGGTACTCATCTAAGTGTTGTTTGTGACGAAATGCATTTACTGTCTTCTTGCGGTTTTGGTGTACCGAGTCCAAATCGATGATGGTGGCATGCCTCTAGGTGGACAACAACACAATGACAAGGTGCAACTGAGTTTTACTATGTTGTTCTAGGTATTCACAATTTCGTTGAGTTTTGTTTGGGAGTATTGTGTTGAGCCGAAGGAAAGTTCCCCTTTCCGAATATTTGTCCTGCGTGTTCCCCCTATCCTCATTTTTTATCCCGTTGTTTTGCGTCCATCGGTCAATGTTTTGTATTGGTAATAATATCAGGTCATGAACACATTCGCTTTTGATGCCTTTGTTATCAAAATCACCACACATGCTGTCACCCATCAATGGGTAATGCTCTTGAATAAAAATTTCCCTTAGTATATTCACCTAAGTCATTTACGGCATTTCGCACCAGGTGATGATGCCTCTACCGTGTGCTTACCGTCCGTTGGTTTGTCCCATAGGTAATGATGGTGAACGGGGATCACCGAATCGGCATTTTTGCCAAGCGGGCAATCGCTCCAGGTGAAGAGCTTTTCTTCGACTATCGCTACGGTCCGACTGAGCAACTCAAATACGTTGGCATTGAACGTGACGCTGATGCCTCCACGATTCAGCAAATTCTTCCGGTTCCTAACGATTTATCCACTCTTATCTCTTTATCTGGATCTGGTCCGAATGGCCCCACAATTGCTCCGGTCACCCTACTCTAGTGATTGTGGTCGCATGGATTTTTGTAAGTTTTTGTGGTATGTCTGTGTTGTCTCTGATCTGACCATTCAAGACTATGGTGGGTAATGTGGCTTCCATTTACTGTGTACAAAGACGATTGAAGGTTAGCTACTTTTTTCGGGTCTTTACTCCTCGAATAGCAAGCAACCAATGTGAGGACACCCGTGTGGTTTTCGAACACAGTTCGTCGAAACAACTCATTCTGTTCACTGAAAAGTCTACATTCAGTGTTTTCATATTCACATAGCGCATAACGTACCCGAAGTGTTGGTAGGTCTATGTTCATCCCCTTAAATCTGTTTTATCCGTCCGTAGTCACCGAAGTAGTGGTCACTTTCACAGATGCCTAGAGGTGTACTGGTTCTGGCGTTCGAACCATCGAATGCAGGCTATCATAGTTACGATTCAGGCCGATTAAATTAGCATTATATACTGGTTGTGCAGCAACGCACTCCCTTCTTTGTAATCTACATTCACTCCCTCGTCAAATGACGTATAGGTAACCTCGGAACTATCTGTTGGGTACAACAAAATGCGCAGCCAGGTAAAGTGGAGCCTACTGAACAATGAAAGCTATCCATATTATCTTTTTGCCGCTTCCACTAGCATCATCAGCACTACCTCGAGCCTAGAGAAAGAGATCACGAATGTCCTGACGTTAGTAGAAAGTAATTTGGCCTCTGGCTGAACAGTTTTACCCTGAATGCCTACATTTTCAGTTGAACTTCTGATTCATATTCCTATTTTTTTTAATTTCTGTTTCAGTTTGGTATTCGTCCTACTGGTTCTGGCGTTTGTACTCCATCCCATTAATCCTACTCTGATCTCGGGTGACTGAATCGCCCATGTCCGGCTATCCCACACCGGTGCATTGCTTGTTATTTGTATCTTTTATAACAGTTATACTCATCGCTAGTTGACAGTTGACTTTTGTTTATTGTTATGACTGACCTGGCTGGTAGTACACTGACTGTTACTCTGAATAGTAACTTTAGTCGGGGACATCGTCGTTGTCTCAAGCTGTGGAAGCCTAGTTCAATACTGCATCTAAGACCCTGTGATAACGATCCGAATTCACACACATTCGAGTTATTAGTGTGACTTTCCTGAAGTGGAAATCATGTACCTTAGTGTCCAAAAATTGCCGACCGTTTTCTTCAGCACTACTGTGTCAAACGACCGCCTATGGTAACTCGCTGGCGAATAGTCATCGGGAGACCGCGCACGATCGTCTAAATACATACATCCTTTCTATTCACCGGTGGATCTTTGCGTTACCGCAACTGTTTAACTTTCCCCTTGGTTTGAACAAGAACATGGTGACGAACAAAGAATCAACTGTAAGCTACAACTATCTTCGTTACATTAGCACCGTGGTTACATCAACCATGGCTTGTAACGGGGTTATGGGGAATTTCTTACTACGCCGAATAATCATACCGGTGGATTCGCATTTTACTGGGTGCCTGATTCACACTCGCTGATCGTACGCTGCATGTTGGTGCATGTAGCCTCCGCTGATGTGATATAGTCTCCCTTATGATGTTCTTCGGTTAATGAGTTGAGTCCCTGGGTCCGTATCCAGGGGCGGCAGTTTCAGATCCGATTAGGTTTACTGCTCAGTGTTTCAGACTTCCTTCCATACACTGCTCACCTCTCGGTCCCTTCCACTCAGCACAGGGCTGGGCAAAAAACAGCTCTGTGAAACTGACGGTGTTCTGGCATGCAGAGTACATGTCCTAACTAGAGTAATTCATCTATCCCGGAAGAGTTCATCCTGAGAACATCTGACGTACTTCAGCGTTGCTCATCCTATGTTCCCACCAGAGTGACCAATGCTTGGGAGACACCGATGGTCAAAAACTGACATCTTTCGTATGTCCTCTGTCTCTGACCCATTAGGCAGTATGGATCACACCCTGCCCGTGACAGATAAACTCACGTCACATCGGTGTAATAGCTATCGGAGATTGACAAACGCTGTTCTGGCTTTACCGATTCAAGGAATAATCTCATCTCCAGCCAATCTATTGGAACTTACGCAGCGGCCCAGGCATACAAATTTATTCACCGCATAGATTGACTCTTATGCAAGCATGATGTTTGGGTTTGATCGCACCGAGCATTGTAGCAGCACTTTTCACACCAAACCGTGCGGAAGAGTTATTTAGGTTATTTAAAACAGTTTGCATTTGGGAAGGATCTGAACCAATTGGAGCAATATCGTCGACATACTCTGTCTGTGAAGGGCCATCCCGGGATCATTTCGACTCCCACGTTTCTAGAGACAGGCAAAGAAAGTACCAGCAGCACATCAGTAGCAAAGTTGAAGAGAAGGGGAAGGGGAGTAGCCTTTTCCGGACACGATAAATTCAGGCGAAAGCTTCCCATATACTCGCGCGCGCTCACAGAAGTCCGCATACAGTGCCGTCATAATGGGTGTAAATTTGGAAGGGACATATTTGATTGCCAGACACTTCCAAAGTTTCTGAAGATCGACAAAATCAAAAGCAGCTTTCAAATCCGAAAAACGACAGAAAGTACCAGCAGCACATCAGTAGCAAAGTTGAAGAGAAGGGGAAGGGGAGTAGCCTTTTCCGGACACGATAAATTCAGGCGAAAGCTTCCCATATACTCGCGCGCGCTCACAGAAGTCCGCATACAGTGCCGTCATAATGGGTGTAAATTTGGAAGGGACATATTTGATTGCCAGACACTTCCAAAGTTTCTGAAGATCGACAAAATCAAAAGCAGCTTTCAAATCCAGAAAAACGACCAACGTGGGGCGTTTGGAGGAGTTGCGCTGTTCAAGACTTTGTTTCAAGGTAAAGATATGGTCGATTCATCCTTGACGAGGACGGAACTCATCTTGATTTTCACGAATCTGTCTCCCGCTAATCCAAGAGTCTCCGCAAAGTAATGCCAGAAACCGCATGATACCAAGCTGATACCACTATAGTTTTCACGTGATGTTATTGCACCGTTTTCTTGTACTGGATTGATGGCTGAGGAACTATTCGGCCGGTGTTCTGTTTTCGTTTCAAATGTGCATACTATTTTCATTTTTGCAGGAGAGTGAATTGAATGGAATCAAATCTCTCCATTCTGACTTCATCTTGGTACAACAGCGCACTGAGATTAGACGGAAATTAAATCTCCCGTTACGGATGGCGCTAGATTGATTCCTGAAGGATAACTGCGCGTTCAAGAAGTCCGGCTCGAGGTAAAAAAAACTAATCTCTAAGATCGGGGCATTGTAGAAGACTTGCAGCACATTTGTGTTGTGACGAGCTCAAAAAAGGCTACCGTAAAAATCGCTCGCACCCCGCGCCACAAAAGTTTTCGTGATTTTCCATGATCTGGCATGGTGGTTTTGAATTCCACCGTCGTCCCATACATCCTCTCCATCCACTGGATATTAGCAGGCCGTGTAATTATCTTCTGCCCGTTGGGACATGTTGAGCATGTCTATGCGATGAGCGTAAAATGAGACAGAAAGTATCTGTACAAGCCTCTTTCTAAGATATTGCTCGGGAGATACGGAGAGGAAGCTTAGGCATGGTGGTCGGGGTGTGTGTGTACCGATGCCTAGGTAAAGGTCCCATCAGTAATACCNCTGTACAAGCCTCTTTCTAAGATATTGCTCGGGAGATACGGAGAGGAAGCTTAGGCATGGTGGTCGGGGTGTGTGTGTACCGATGCCTAGGTAAAGGTCACATCAGTAATACCCGCAGCAGGAATTGGAACAACCGGAAAGGGGAGCAAGCAACCACTGGCGTTGCAGCAGCAACTGAACTAAAAGATAAAATGGCTAAGGTGGTGTGAAAGGCTTTAATGCGGTGTGTGTACTGGGACATTTCCAAGGGTGGACAAGATATTCAGTAATAATTAACAAAGAAATGGGCATCAAAAACCTGTGGAACTTTCCCACAGTTGGTCACATACATACACAGCTTGGAGGTGGCACAAATGCCTTCCCCACGGGGAGTGGGGGGTGTAGTACTTGCATGTCGGTATACGTGAAAGCCAGAAAGTCCTTTATGAGTAAATCAGGTAGTTCTGGCTTTGCATTGAAGATGGTTCTTGGTTTGCTGCTGAATGCTAGAAAAAACTGCACAAGGCCAAAAATCAGAGTACCTAGATGATACAATGCAGCACAGAAGTAGACAGTTCAGGCCGAACTGTGATCACATTGTTTCCTCTTGTTTGGTATCATTTTGTTTCCGCTGTTGTCTGGCAGTCCTCCATAGGGCCTCACGTTCTGCTTTCCAGGCAACGATACGAGCCTTCAAATCAGGTACTATGGAAGAAGGAAATAGGTGCGAGTTAACCTCAATACAGATGTGTATGTAAGCGGCTGAAGATAGAACAATGTTTCATCAACTGAACTCCAATAATGGACACGAGAAACGTAGATGTTTATCCAGTGAACCAATGCGGCACAGAACAACAATACTCATCAAAGCCTCAAACAAAACAAAAACCACAAGTCTGAGGAGTAACATACATGGGATGAGATCGCTCTCTGTAAGTGGCATCCGGTTGAACGGGTCAGTTTCTTGGTTCAACAAGTGCCGCATAATGGTGCTGCGATCAACCACGGCCTGGGACTGGGGCAACATGACTGGATCGTCCATCAAAGTGCTTATCAATGTATCACAGAACTCAGTGGGTATTTCTCCGTAATCCACTTCAGTTCTATTGCGTGCGAGTTCCTCAACCTACAAAAGATAGGCAAGACGGACAGATCGGATCGCTCCGTAGCGGAATTCTTGTGGCAACATATTTCACAAGGCCACCAAATGCATGAAAACCACTCGGCTCTTGTTACTCAACAAGATGAGCGTGGGTCCCTTTCACGCCTTTTCGATTTCACAAAATTGGGTATTGTATCAAGCCGGAACGTCTTAGCTTAACTGGGTACTCGTTGCTAATGTGTGGCTAGTTGTCCACCATAAACCTCGAAAATAAGAAGTCCATTGCTGCAGCAACGAATCTGAGGCACCAAGTGCTATTTCTACAGACTGGTTGGTGAACGCTAGTAATACGGAAGCGCAAATAAGCTGCTGGGGCTAGATGGGATCGTTGTCCTGGACTAGAGCTTCTATCATGCAACAGTTCCCCTGTAGTTTTCAGACCTACCCACAATTTCGACACCGATTCTGGCCATCAAGTGAGCGGATCTGGATTATCGATGATTATTGGAAGTCGCCTACGATTTTGGAGGTTCCATCCAGCAGCCTCATCCGAACCATGGCAATAATGGCTTTGCTGTGGGCCCAGAGACAGATTTTTCTGGGTCACAATGATCGTCCAACTCGTCGCACAATCCGTGGTCGGAGAATTTGAGTATACATTCAGAACGGGATACCTGATCACCTAGCCTTCTTTCCAAAGCATTTCTAGTGAAGCGGACTAGAAAGACCCTATAAATACCGTCTCAAAACAATAGCCACTATTTTTTGTGGCAAAAACGCACGTAGGTCGTCATTTACATAAATGAATACACGAGATTCATTGTGTGTCTGTAGCATACGGTCGTACTTTCTCAGTATACATTAGAAAAACACGTTCCTGTCAACCAGTTTGAATGAGTGGGACTGGTAGTCATAATAAAGGAATTGTGAGTAGCGCTCTCTTGAGGTGAGTACTTGCCAGTTTGTTCTGAATTTTGGCAGTTCCAACCAAACTACACAGGCACATAGGTATTAAAAAAAACATGTCTGGTGAACCTGACGGAAGATTAGCAATATTAACTGAGTTATTTAGACACGACATCTCCAAAAAAGTGTCGTAAAAAGATCAGCTTCATTATGATTTAAGGAGGATCGTGCGGCAATTATACAGAGACGATAGCCTATCCAGTTATGACGAGATACGTAGCGGAGGCATAGTGCATGTGAGATCGCGTTGAAACGAGGATCATTTGTATTGCCCTGCAGTGGTCTTCATAGCGGAGCAACATATTAGTTGGTTTTCTGACAAGCCTTATACCTCTTGTAAGGATCAAACCGTACTCTGGGAGTATCCTTTCTTCAAGGGGATTACTGCGTCGAAATAGATCTGAAGTATTCATTGGGCGACCATGAATCCGAAACTATCATGTACTATTTACTCGTCATGACATTCTTCCCCAATTGGGAACCTCTGTATCGTCATCATCGACAACATGACATCAGTGTTCAACACTGGTGCTTCGCTCAGTTTAGGGTCCTTACATAGCATCTACCCAAGAAAAGTCCCCAAATCGACCGAAAAATGACGTAAAATTGGGAGTTTGTCAGTGTTTGGGGGGGGGGGGCATTTCTACCATTGAAATGTGAAATGTTACACGAAATCCATACACTGAAAAGCAGAACGCGTATATGAAGATGGACTCGGACTCTACTAGACGTACCTTTTCGCCGAGGCGAGCAAACATGTCAAGCTCATTGGGGGTTTGTATCCCGTGGCGAGACATGAGGGAGTGCGCCTGGGCAAACAGGTCGTGCGAATAACACCGGTCGTCTTTGGCCACAGCAAGAGCAAATTGTCCATCCTCGGTGTCCAGATGTCGATAGATGGATACGATTTGCGCCAGGAGTGTTTTCGGTGCCCATCCGTAGGAGTCCGGATTGCGGACCTTGAGTCTAGTGCATGAACAATAACAAAGTGACCNACAAACGGACAAACAAGCTTCCTCGGCATTCCTTTATTAGTTTAAAGTATAACCACAACGCAATGTTGTGACCCGCCTTACGATGGACACAGCAAAGGAAAAAAAACTCTGAAAGGGGGTTATATAGGAATATAACAGAAAAGAATGCTCACTAGTAATTAAATTGTTTGTAAAATGTAATGATAGCAAGTCCACATCTGTACATCATCATCACTGACAGCGATACACCAGTAGAACATCATCACTATCTTCAAATGCGGAAAGTCGCATACACGTTGTTTAGTCGTTATGGCTGTCAGATTTTCGTTCGGCGATGATCTGGGGAGATAGGGGTGGCATTGGGAGGTGGCTGGTATAATTGGTGCGTGAATACAGATGTCTCGGTGGGGAGATCGGGAAAAATGGCTATGCCCTGAAGGCAACAGCACGGACGCGTGACTGGTCCATGTCTGTCAATATTTCTAACCACTGAGGGAGAGTTCCTTCGGGGTTTCCATAAAGAGATCACCTTCAGTGCTACAGCTACTAGACTAACGTCGTGGCGGTTCTCATACAAAGCTCACGTACCCTTTTTAAAGACAGTCACCGATGTGCCCCATTCTCCAGGCACCTCAATCCTCATAGCACCAATGAGTTTTTTTTTCAGATGAGCAACCAGGGCTTCTCCCCTTTTTTGGAGAGATTTGCATACAGAATGTCCGGTGATGGTGCTTCCTCACGTTTCAGCAGCGATATTAATGCTTTCTTTTTTCTTCTAACGGCCTGCTAAGGTTTACAATCCATTGTATCCAGGGTTTGCGTTGCAGGGGAGGGGGTAGCCGAACTGTTACTTGATGTGTTCAATCGGCACTTCTGAATGAATCTATGATGCGTCATTTCAATAAATGTTGTATTCTTTTGGTCAATTGATCATCCAAAGGCCCAGGTATTTCCGGTAGCACAAACTTTCAATGTTCAATAAAGACCTCGGTCTTCCACCATACTCTTCACTATCTGGCGCTCGATGGATTTGCAGGCGACGGCGTACTCGTTGCTTGTTGGTGTAGGTTTCCATGCATCAATCAGGAGTAGCGAGTGTGTCCGTGTTCCTTTGATCGTATCGAAGATGTCGAACGCCGCTAGCATAGTTCCTTTCAAGTTTTTTCTTACCATACTTCATTCACCTGCTCTTTCCCAGTACGGTGTTGGCTTACTGCATATTATGGTTCAACTGGCTCAGATTGGTACTGGTGGACTATGCTAGCTCTCCGAAAAGGATGGATTGGCACGCTTCTTGCTGATTTGCTAGGGTTCAAAGCAAAGCTAAACGTCAAACCGGTTCGCACTACGGTGTGGTCTAAATCATGCTGTACACATCGAGGCAGCCTGCTAATGTACTGTTGCCGCAGTGTCCAAAGCCGAGAATATTGGACGTCACACCAACCTTAAATAAACGAGAACTCTGACCGTTAGCTGCCAAGCGAGCAGAGAATCACCTTACTGTTGATCCTGAATGATTAATGTGTACCAAATCTACATCCTCGTGCATTCTGTATCAGTTCACTCTGATGGCTTATGGGCACCTACAGTATTTCAACTCCTAGCTTATTATGGAGACCATCAAGGAAGATCACTAGGACCTTTGATAGTCTTGGGTGTCCTTACATGAAGCATAGATATCGCACATCAATCTGGGGTCCCGGTGCTTGTGTGACGTGACTCGGCCACGCAGTGATCCACTAGATAGAGCACTCGTTGGTAAAACCGGAGGAAGCAGATCCTATTTGAGCTTCTATTTTTTGCTTTTTTGGTTCCATGTCCAAGATTGAAACAGTGCTTCAGGAGGAAAAACATCAGCATAGTTGAAAACACCAACGAAATTCCATTGTCAAACTCACGAGCTACACTTGGGGCCGCAAAGCTGAACCAAATTGAAATTGAGCATGGCAGCCAACTTATCGACTATTTCTGGTCGGAGGAAGGGTGCTTGTATTTCAGAGGTCAAGTAAAACAGCATGTTCACAGTCTGATTGGCAAGGGTCAAATAGGACCGAACCTGGATTGATGGTGGAGAAACGCATGGGAAACAAGCTGAAGAAAAAGGACAAACTTTGAAAAGGTACGAGAAAAGTTCTAGTAATGCTCACTGGGCACAACAATCTTTGACAGGGAGACAAGGATTTGTTATAAGCCAGCTGGTTGACAACAAAAAACCTTATAAATCAATAGCCGATTAAGTTTCCATCCCCCCGTTGTTGCGATACCAAAATCCTCAATAAGGGAACCCCCCTGGGGACAAATCATTTTCTACAAGCTTCTCCAGTAAACAGACAAGATGAGAAACATCGGAACGGTTGGAGACGCGAGTCACCGATGGACCCGATCGATTCACAACTCGCATGATAATAGAAAATGTATTTGCATGAGAAACGTAGAATAACGGTACGGACCACTGTATCATGAAAACCCCAGTAAAAGCATATCACCCTCTCACTCCAGTCTGTGACAATGAAAACGTTTCCTGGTAAGCGGTCAGTCATGGAAAGTGACGATGAACAGAAGTATGTCAACGTCATCGATGTGACAGCAATGAGGCTAATTATAACGATGATGACGATGACAATGATGCTAACGATGACGATTAGCCAGTGTCAGTTTTTTTTTGAAAGATAACTGCGTGCAAAGTGAATCCTTTTCGTTTTGGATAGTCTCTCTACAAAGCATGTAGTCGTATATGGCCGCGATAGTCATGATAGGCTGCTTGTGTTAGGAAACATCGCACTAAAGAAAACTTCCGAAATGAACGGTGATGAGAAGTATACATAATTCGACAGGGCGATAGTTTTGAACCCAACTATCACGCGGACAGGACATACCTGACGTTCGTGCGTTTCCAATTCACCCATATGAGTAATCTGTTGCTGTCGCGGTAATTCGGACCAACGAACCGTATCGTTTCGCAAATCTTGCAGCTCACGTACACGCTTTAGGCCATCCAGAGCTTCTTCGAGTAAGAATGACATGTCATTGATGACGCGATTAGTGAATTTGATAAACTCCTGTTCATTCGATCTGAGGGAATGGAAACGGAAGATCCGAGATGACATAAGTCGTCATGTTGCCGAGTCCAAGAAACGTAAAATGACGTTCAGGGGATCCCATGTCTGAGAATGCATCGGTGTGTCTGACAGAAAAACATCCTTCCATAGTAGTAGTAAATACATCTCCAATCAGTTGTCTTATGGGATCAAGCAGAAGGGTAGACGTTACAGATACAATAAACCATGCCGCAAGACAGACCATTCCGAAAAATAATACTTAAGTAAGTGAAACCTACCATTCATATCGAGACATGCTATACCATTCTCTGTTCGTATTCACTCGACGTTGCACATCTGAAGCACTTAAGGTGGACAATTACTCCCGCCCGTCTTAAAAAATCCCTCTTGACAGCTGTTTTCAAAATCCCAATGAATGCTTATCATCATTAATGATAGAGCCTAGCCTGTATTCAGCACCGATACTTCACTGCCACACAACTACAAATCAGTACAGCGCCTAACTGTTCGGTCGAGGTATCTTACATATAACTATCAAACTGCGAAACCCAAAGCGTACGTGCGACTGGAAGAAACGTCATTCATTCTAGCCTGCCTACAAACAGGAATGCAAATGGTGAATTTCATCAAAGACTAGCTTTTCCTGACTGCAATTGATTTTCCGGTACTAAAGACAGCCACGCACCGTAATCCATTTGTTAGAGATACGAGCATCCGCCTACAGTTCGATATCTGCTAGTTGGGCGCACTCAGTAGGGTTAACAACTGTTGTCTCCCTGAATGCAGACTCGGGAAATCAACTCATCAGTGATTAATGACACTGGCAGACATGGCTCGACCACGCAGTCAGTGGCGCTCCCGCATCAAAGTCATCGCCTTCAATGCATATCTGCCAGTTTCATGCCGTCAACTCCAGTGCTTCGGTATATCTCCTCCATTTTCCCGGTGACCGAGATTGCAGCGGTTGGAACCAAATTATCCTTGGTACATGGTGTATAGCTGGTAAACTGAAATAAACTGAACATCAGCGCGTTTCACCTGAGAAATTGTATAAGTTCTATCGCATCTCTGGATGCGATAGCTTATAGGCGGCCTTTTGGAGTAGCCTTTCTGGAAAAAAAGCGTGTATAATTGTGGAGTTCTCTAAATGGTGGTCTTTTTCCTTCGCATACTACATTATGCGCTTCAATGAGTGATGTTATGTACAACCCGTTGTACTGGCCTATATTCAAAGGGCATTTTCTTGGGGATACTAATGCGAAACCATATGCATCATCATATTTTTAGGATGTTCATTAACGACCTTGGTTAAAATGTCCTCACATTATACATACAAACAGGGTTTCAGTTTTCGTTGGTGTGTGCGTTACCTAGTTACATTAAAGTAGGCTAGTAAAGTGGAATTCATCTACCTACTTAACCGCGGATGACGGGGAATGGTAGCGAATCGCTTTTAGGACACTAACCTATCTCTAAGCATCGTTTTTGGAAATCACAGTAGTATATCATGTTCTCGTAGCTTAAAGTCATGTCTAGAAACTCAAGATGCACTCGAAAAAGAGTACTGCGGGTAACAGTGAGTCTACTTGAAGCCTAAATGAGCGAAAATTCAGCAGAATTTTTCATCCTTGCGACATCGTTTCCCGAGTAATCTTCGTTGGGCATTGGAAGTGATCTCTCGAAGTTAAACCTCAGGGAAGAGGTGAAGTGGTCTTAATTGGGAGGGCAGCCACTTTGAGTAAGAGCTAAGTTGAGAGGAACACCGTATTCAGATGAATCCCCATTCGACAGCAACTCAATTTGGAAATGAGTGTTTGTCGTAGCACAAGTGCTTTTTCAATGACAAATGTGACTTTATATTTCTGTTGCGAAATTTCGGCTTTCTAAGTGAATGTGAGGAGAAAGTCGACAAAAAACGTAGCCTCCAGATGAACTTTGCGAGTAATCCCCTGTACTAGAAGGGCTGTAAATGGAAGCGCGGGCAGCGAAACAATACATCCGTTGTACGCCCTTGATCATTGCAAATGTATCTGATCAGTGAAAATGAAATCCAACAGTCTATTTCGGTGTACGCGTATCGTAGCATAGAAGCAGAAAGGCTTCCAGATGGCCTAATATGTTAAAAGTCAATGGTATATTCGAATGAATCACTGGGAAGGAGCGCAACCGGTTTTAGGTTTCAGAACGAAAGTGTACTAGCCTAACCCTGGAAGAGAACCTAGACAATCTTAAAAAAGAGGACCTAACAAAAGGACCAAGAGTCGTCACTTGCTACAAAAGACAGCGAACTGAAGGACCTACAACACAACACTCAAAACAAGGAAACATACTCAGCTTCTCGAATGAACAGAGTTTTGAGAAAACCTTCGCGCCACCATGTGATAAATATCGTGGAGATGTTGTATCGGATGGAAAACTTGTCATAGAACTCATTGGTAGCACCTGTGGACTCCACGTTGATGTAGAACTGAATTAATGAGCTCAATAAATGTGTTGTGGATAGGGGGTGAAGCTTTACCGCAGTGTGAAACTCATTACCACGACCGCTGACAGCAGGATCACAGAAGAACAAAACCTGTTAGTGGAAACGCCAAAACAGATGGTTTAGTAAATGCACTAAGCCAAACGTAGTACGGAGAATGATTCCTGTAACCATATTTGCTCCCTATTAATGATCGATGAAAAGCAAGTTCACCGTTGAATTTGACATAGTGCAGTGAGCACTCCGGTTTGCTCACTACAGCAGGGGTAATTAGTATGAAGTAGCAAGCTAGTTACGGGGCGGAGCCCCATTGAAAAAGGTCCCACTAGGAAGAGCCCCCCACAGAATGAGCCTTTTTCGACTGATTGATGTGGATATGTTTAGATGGCAAACTTCCTCAAACCACTTCATAGTAGAAGCCATTTTATAGGATCTCGATCCCGATTCGATAGGGAGTGACTACTCGCAACCGTCTCAAAAGCCATACTTTTCTTCGCCGCACATCACTTCGACCCTACTAACACCTTACCTAGGTTTCTGTGATTGATTTAGAGAAGCAGCACATCAGTTAAGACTAACTAAATGTTTCTATCTTCTTTTATTTATCGTCGGTTATTTATTGAGTTTCCCCACCCGATGCGAACAGATTGTTTGACGCATCAAAGGAAATCGGAAAATTCGGAATCCAGAAAAATATACTTCTGCACTGTAGCTGAGGAACCAAGCACCTGATAAACACACCGAAAAGTTTATGCAAACAAGTTGTCTCTTAGTGTTAATGCGGATTGCTGTGAATTACTGTCAAATGGTCTTATATTGTAAGCCAGAGTTTTCCCTTTTAGTCCGAATCGCTTAGAGACTTGGGACACCGGAACATACAGGAGTACAGATTGCCATCTAGTCATTTGATGACTATCCACAATTAAATGAGTGCCTACAGTTCTCCAAAGTATACCTAAGCAGTCCAGGCCACAAAAGACTAAATAGGAAATTAGGCTTATAGAAACTGGACGGCTAAACCTACCTGATGTCTCTCAAGGAGGAAGGAACTGCTGCTGGACTGTCAGAATTTTCAGTAATCGTATTAAGTGTTGACTCAAGACTGCAGTGAACTAAGCACAACATCACAACGAGAGTGAATGTCCAAGAGGCATAGTCACTATTATCGACAGCATGGCGTAAATGTTCAACACTGACGCTTTCCTGCCACACAACCATAACTTGTTTGGGAGCCTTATTATGGAGAAAAAAGTGGATGAGGAGTAACTTACTGTTATCCCATCACAATCGTTTAGCTCTCTATACCTCCATCACTCATTCACACACTCGTTAGAAAGAAACAACGAGAACGCTTTTGACACCGATTAACAACCATGCAGAGTGGATCGCACGGAAACACACGGTGAGTCACACCGGCAGCATCAAGACGTTTCGTAATATTTCATCCCTTTATTCGAGGTTCTCCGGTCCGCTACTCTCAGGCTGCACGTCTTACAGCCACACAACAAAACAGGCCGTACTGTGGTCTGATTAACAGGTCCGTTGAGATTCAGGGATATACCACTTTGTCGCCATATGTATCTCAAGTTAGCAAACGCGACCCGAGCTTTGAACATTCCGGTATTGCCTTACCTGTCAGAGCTAATACAACTTCCAAGATCCGTAAAATACTCCACAACTTCGAGGGCCCCTCTTGGATTGTAAGTAGCGCCTTCAGTAACTGCAGGTCCAGGAGCATGACCCTGCACTTTGTGAGTGCAAAGCGTATCTCAAAGCACGGGGTGATTTTGGTGAGTTCATCCAAAAATGTCGGCGCCTCTTCCGCTTCTACGACGAAGACCATTCCATCTGTATAGTCCAGAGTGAACATGATGGCTACGAAGACCTTCTAGCGTTCACCCCATTACCTCATCAGTCACGAAATCAGATAGAATGGAGAGCTTCTAGCGTTCACCCCATTACCTCATCAGTCACGAAATCAGATAGGAATGGAGAGATGGTGGGCATCCACCTCAGAATTTACTTTGCATATGGGGGAGCTTTCGAAGTACTCACGCACACGAGCATATTATATTGACAAACTTTCATGGCATTCCCAACTGAACAGGCGTGTTGTTACTACAGGTTGAATAAGCGCGATGTTTACGAAGAGTCTCTAATCAAACAACCGCATTCGTTCTAAAAATAAATTCCTCAGGATACTGTAACTCATCGGCAACGGAGTAGCTGCTTGCAAGCCTTAGCCCTTGCCACAATCCATGAGAGGTGGATGGTTAGACAGATGATAACGGATGCCCATAGTCATGTCAGGAAGTATTAGAGGGTCGACACTTACGAAAGTGAGATCTGTTTGAGGACAATATGACAGGATTCTATACAAAATCTCAGTACAACTCTCGAATGAAGAGCCAGATCCGCTGCTGTTCGCGAAAACAGGACCTCAGGACCGCCCAGAAACAACCAAAATGGAAGTAATAACAACGAGGCAGTGACCAGGAATCTCAACACTAAACAACTGACCAAACAGGCACAGAATGTAGTTATCAGGATAACAGGCTTTACTTCTATGGATGCCACAAGTCTTGAGTTTCTCGCCAGCCTGTAGGCAGCAATAAAATCCGCTGTACTGGATGAAAACCCTACAAAATGACTCCATCAAACCGTTGTACCATCTAGCACACGCAGTTATAAACCAGTTGTTGTTTATCCAACACCGTCATGGAAGGGAAGGGTTATCGTTTTGAGTCAAAGGCATGGCCCCAATGGCATTTCGCACCCTGTCAACAGATGGACGTCTCGTCGTTCCGTGCTAACAACGGAAAGTTTTATTGCAAATTCACTGAAAAGCTGTTATTATAAAATCCGCTGGGATTTTGAACGTCCTTTATTGAACGAGAACGGAGAAAACTGAGAATAATAAACAACTTGAACTGGTTCATGAGATCTAGCTCTGTCCACGGAACAATTGTCCGTATATTGATGAAAGGCCACTTTCTAGGATTATGCACTTTCATTGCAAGACTAAGGTAACACATTTCACTAACATGTGACTTTGTTACCAACTACTGTCAAGCGGTAGTAGTTGTGCAGCTAATTGCACATTAGCAGGATTGTCGGAGTCTGATATGAAGACTATGAACCACTTTGCTGAGGTTATCCCCATCCACTCTGCATCTTTTGCAATAACTGCGGTGTCACAGTGCATAAACGAAGGAACTTCTCATCGAAATAAGCCCCTTGCAAACTACTTATCACCAGAAAACTACTGACTAGTCCCCGAAAAACTCATGCAAAAACTTCATTCCCCCACCCCGCGGAGTAGGAGGCAAGCAACTTAATGCCTTCTTAGCTGGAAAGAAAACTGACCAGGTATGAAGTCCAATCTAACAAAGGCGTTAGCGACAAAGAATCGGAACTTACCTCTATAAATTTTGCCACAAGATACGGGTTGCGAATGAAGTGAGCATGACAAATCACAAATAAAACTAGAGTGACAAGCATATTCTGAGAAGAACGATCGATCGGCGGGATGGGGGTATTGGAGAAATTCCTGAAAATAAACAAAGAGAGACTTGAGGAATAACGAGAGTCCTAGAACCTGGAGAAGACTGGCGGTGCAGAAACATTCGATTTGTATTAGGGCAACTTAATGAGCTGGAACGGTATGGCTTGAAGCAATGAACGCCCCAAGTCGTGAACAGTAGAAGTTATTCGAAAGACCAACAAAGCAACTCAGTCAAACTTGAAGAATGCTGTGTGGCTGATCAGTGGTACAATCACAAGTTCGGCAATGGCATAATGGAGCACTTGAATTTACCTGTAGGTCGTAGCAGACAGAAGCCAGGCTACTTTTCAGTGAGATCGTAATGTGAAAGTTAAATCAATCACAGAAAAGTAGCTTTGTGGTCTACCATCATAAGTCTGATGCATGACAATTGATATGCGACACCCCCAGGTGTATTAACAGTATTGCGAGGCCAAATTGTCCAAAGGTTGGTTTCTCGATGACAGTAACTCCAAGCGCTGCTACACACCATTTCGCCTTAAAGTGCAGTTCACATAGCTTGATGCCTTTCTCGGCTACAACTTCAGCCTTTGGCTTGTTTGTATCAACCTATACTATCAGATAGACTGCACTACATGACAAAAGCTGCGCACTTTCAATTACAGTGCCTTCGCATATCACAACCATGAAACAACATTTCGTCTAAAATAGACTTTCGAATACCGGTATCGTTAAGGCGACTGCATGAATCCAGATGGAACTGTACGACATCCCTTGCGATTTCCTCTCGTAATATTGCCGGATGTGCCCTATTATTCGGCCTTGACAGTCACTTTAAAAATGCACCTTATGGTCATTGGACAGAGTGAGTCACAACTGCGCACTGACGATGTCCCTTCGAGTGGAGAAGAAACATTACCCAGGCAATAATAGCCAAGCATAGCGAACAGATCAATGGCCATCTGATCAACCACCGGTAAAGTTGTGTGGGTGCGTCGCACCACCTAATAATACAGGAAATGTGGACATTTGGCAGCCAGTTCATCGGTAACACCCTTCCGACGCCTAGCTGCCAGGCTATCCGAAGGAAGCATAAGGGCTGGGATAGTGCCAAGTTGCTCAAGCCTAGACCGGGGGAAGTCGAGAGGCAGAGGTCGGGTCCGAACCACGGTCAGTAAATTCACGCTCTAACCACTTGAGCCATCGCGCCTCCTGGCTGGCAGCACTTAGCTTTCGAGTCGATCCTCAAGAACATGTGATTTACAAACACCTTTGTGGTAACGAATGGCCATCTGTGATTAGACCACCGGTAAAATGAGGATATTCCACGTGGTCATATGTTATGTTCTGCGCATGAGAACACTCGCCGTCCGTACATCATTACCTGGTTGCATTCATCTTATGTGAGGTACGGGTTCAACTAGCTGACCCCGCACAGTACTAGTTTTTATTAGACTGACAAGAATAGACAGCTGATCTTCTTCATCTGAGCAATCATAAGCAGGGCCGTTGGCTTAGTTTACACATCACAGTTGTTAGCCCTGAGCTTCAAGCAACTCGAAGCCGGTTGTCAGTCGTTTTTACAAAGTCACTTGCTGAAATGATAAAACATCGCTGTGCAGCTGGACGCAGGTTTTTTGGATTTCACTGTTACGCATGCCTTAGAAAGTGGAAAAGGTAGAGTTCCAAGGGTCTGCTGAATACCTCATAAACATTCCGGGGTACCGTCTCATTTGAAAAGTCTCAGGAGAATTCAAACAGAATTCCGATCAGTTGCAGATATCGTGAACAGTCATTTCGTAGCTCATGTCTTGAGCAGCTTGCATTCAAAATATGATAACTGATTTCTGTTGTCGTCAGCAACGTTCATTATCATTAATTATTACCGATGTTAATATCAATATTGTTGTTATTAGTTACTGGTAACCGAGATGTCGTCATTTGAGGATCATGTGATGTGAAGTATGTAAAGGATAAACGGCCATCTATTCTATCCATATGCGAGGCTAACTGGAAACTTCATGCTCCGATTACATTTCTCACACATTGGATTATCACTGAACCGTCTCGCAAAACATGCAGACGACAGTGCACCTGGTCCGGCTATTGTTTTGATCATTTCAAGGCTACTGTTGTGGACAGCATGATTAGCTGATTTAAACAACTGATACTACTACCAGAGTAAGTTGATTATCGGAATCACAATCAACTTTCGTCACAATCGTCGAAGCAGTATTGACTTGTACTGGACGTTCCAGTGTTACCATTGGAAGAAAGTAGTGCTTGTCCTTTGCTGAATGATATGCCGCCACTTTCGATTAAACGTCCTCTTCTGACCGTTGGTGCGTCGAAACTAGTTCGGATTCAAAAGCAATCATTCGAAAAGTTCGGAAGACCGTTCATCATATCCAGGTGGACAAAAAGCATCCATAAACAAGTAAGAGGAATTGTTGAATCAATTGTGTATATGACAAAAATGTCTCACTGTACCATTCGGGTATTAAAAAGCATAGATTTGAAACGAACTAATAGGATTTCGCGACCTACCTGAGAACAAATACAAGGTAGTTGGAAATTTCATCCAAAAGGCATTCGGGCATGAAGGCAAAAAGTTCAGGGGCTGTGCTGCTAGCCGATAAACCGGAAACACTATAGAGATAGAGAACAGTGAGGAAGAGTTTGAACATAAAATTCATAAACCGTTGGTTGGCAGTTTCCAAGGGACTTACAATCGTGACACAATGTTTAATAAACCTGGAACTGAAAACTGTCGCCATTTCAGACGCGTTTGAAAGAATTTGCTGAAATTACTGAAGAGTAACGATACTGAAGCTCTTCTTCCAATAAAAGTCCAAAACGATCGGTTATGTACGGCAATTATGTACGTTGGGATTCAACAGGGATAATCATAAACCTACTCGATTTATTTAATCCTGTGCGACAGCAGTGTGCAACCAACTGACAGAGCAACTGCCATTAATAATGGATGCATGCATTTTTCCTAGCGAGGTTTTCCGGACACCAAATATCCAAATATCCGAATGTTCGTACATCACGAGAGATAGAAGTAAGGGTGCGCTGATTGTAGTCTTTTTGTAACAGTGCCACAATGCTGATGCACGGGCCCATGTCCATTCACATAAGCAAACACAGATGGCCACACGCAGTCAGCTGCTGTAAACCTAAGGGGAAATTTAGCACATTACACCTTGTGAGCACATTTCTTCCCATGACATTAATTGCAGAGGCGGCTATTGTCGACATCAGTCAGTTTACTGGTTGGTGTTCTCATAATTCGTTGCTGGCTCATACGCTGACAACACTCGGTCGCTCCCACTCAGCGCAGGACTGGGTGAGGAAAGCTCTGCAAGGCAAGGCCCAATCGGCGATCTGTTGCCGGACATAGTCAATCGCTGCTTGTTGCAATCCCTAAAACGCATGTTTCCGGTTGGAACTCCGCAGTCTCGGTTTACAACCAACATCTTGCTCAATTTAAACCTCGAGGAAAATATGCCAGTCCTCTCCCAGAATATGGTTGTGTATTCTTTCTCCTGCTGTTGTTTAGCTGTGCACGTTGGGCGCACGAAACGGCAACTTTCTAAGAGAATACGAGACATCCCTTTTACCGGAACACTATTAGACTCAACAGTTCACCCAAAAGCTCAGTTGCGTCTCACTTAATTGACTGTGGTCATGTAGTCAATCCGAATGAGCCGTTTCGTGTACCCAATAAACTACCAGTATCGATCCAAAAGCGTCACTTGACTACAGCCGAAGCAGTCGCCATACGACTGCGAGACCCGGTACTGTGCTGTCAAAAACGATTCGCACCAACGCTGAGTTTGCCTTGGTCATGTGACACGTATCAGCCGACCAAGTGACTCAACGGCCCTCTACCCCGTCGCATAGCATCCAACTGGATGCGACATGGGGGTGCAGACAACTAATCATTCGTGTATTCACGTTTTCATTTCACTAACCAATCTTCGCTGTGTATCTGATTTTCCACTCCTATTTTAACCACTATATATGTACTGACCTGATGACAGGATCGCGAAGACATTAATGTTCATCACTCTCTTCTTGTCTCATAAAAGGTGACATTCCCGGGTAATAGAAGGACGCTGGTCTATTCAAACCCCCCTTTCCAGAGGCTAAGCTAAGTGAAAAAGCCAGCAGCAAACCATTAAACGGAAGGAGGCAGGGTCTTACGGTTGATGGTCGGCAACACGGAGGAGCAGTTTGGACAGACTGGCGTAGTAGACGGACACGGCCTGAAGTAGACCGCGATGCAAGAGGACCACATTGCAGCAGAGTTTTGACCGTTCTTGACGTTCCAACTCATTGTTCCATCGTTCCAAAATTGTTTCATTAGCTCGAATTTGTGCTGAATTAGGGAAAGTGGGATGACAGAAAGATAGACTGAATCAGGCCAACGCCAAGGTGCACTTGCCTGAGTAAATGATCTTCAGAAATGATCAAAGAACCACAATGCCAGGTGCCACTTCATGCACTCAATTTTCGTCTTTCAGTTTATATCATAGGGAGCATTTTGCTCGAATGCTACGCTATCTTCTTCATTGAGAATGCTATAGCCAGACGAGTGAGTGGTAGGGAGCTGATGTTAGAGGGCAAAGAATACAGAGTGCTTGCTAGTCCCCTCAAAAGAAAACACTCAGAACTAGATGTCGAGTCGAAGCAAAGTACGCCCTTCCTCAGGAAGGGCGTACAAGAAATAGAGGTGGCGGAGGGGTATCTTAATTCCTTAAGCCGATGGCGCTAGTTACACCTTAAACCGGAAGATTAATGGCACCGGTGGTGTCACCCGGAGGGAAAGCCCATTAAAGAATTTCACCAAAAGTTTTTTGTCCTTTAAATACAGCAGACCCGTAATTTGGTTAAAGCCGAGTTGCTCAACTGCTTTAAAATGAACAGGATGCTAAGCACAAATGTGACTGAGTTTCAGCTTTAGTTTACCAGCTGTAGGTTGCGTATGGAGTTTACTGCTTTTAAGGCGGCGATCTCCATGACCACAGACTGATCATTACATGGAAATCGGCTGATGTACTTCGCAGCACATTCAGTGACGTCAGCTCGGATAAGATGGATCTATTAGGTTGGCCTTGTGAACTAGAACAATGAGTAAATAAGAACACCCTGAAATGTCCCGGTGGTGGGATCTTCAAGCAGTCATTCCTAAGAGAGTAGTTCCAATGTCGAAAACATTTTATTCGAAAGAAACCACATCCGTGTTCATCAGACACGCGGTATTACTGACAGAGATGACGTACAAGGTAGCGTTTAACTGCGGTGTCTGCGAAGGCAGTATGTAGGTCCCAATATGTGTTAGTCACATGTGAGGCGTACTGGCGATGCCTATGTTCGCATATTGGGTAAACTAAGAGGCTGTTGAATAGCGGTACAGTGACACATGTTTAAACACGAACCAAAATGTTCTGAGTAACCCCACATCCATTAAAATGAACGAACAAATATGATTTCAACTTTACTCAGACCTAAAGCAATGCACTACACTGCATCTCCTTCGGAACGAATCCTTCCAAGTAAACAATTCCCAAACCGTTCGCTTTCCGGCGAGTAATTGCTGTTCAATGCAGATAGCGATCTCTGTTATAAGAGCTTCGTGAGTATAAGGTCCAGATGTGCTCATAAAGCTGACTAATTCAACCCAGGCAGATGCACTGCGGACCTGTAGTGTGCAAATGCAAGACGACTACGAGGGTAATCAGACTGTGGAAACACCAATCCTGAAGACTGCCAGGGATCCATGATACTCAATGAAGATGACAAAAACTGCATAGTGCTCCTCTGCCTTTGAACATAGGATAACAGGGCTTTGCAGACTGTTTGGAAGTCTTGGAAAATTTTCGCTTATAAAGAACGATACCTCCAAGACATGCTAGGTTATTGGGCCGACTGATCTCCTTCTTAGACATACGCTTTGCACTCGCAACTTTGGCAATTCTGTCAACGAGGAAGATGATACGTCCTACAGATAGCTATTGCCGCCAACACAATGAACAAAACTTACCCGCGGGGCTGTTTGGTCCAGCCCACTGACCACGACTGGCAGACAGAAGCTTGATATTTCGGGTTAAATCGGCTATAACCTGAAGTCGACGTTGATATTTACGTATACTCGCCTGAAAGCCAAGCTGCATTGCCCAAGCAGTGAGAAAGAAACACTCGGTGGAGAAGTTGAGTGCCGGCCACCCGCCGTCTGCGCGAACTTCGGCATCTAAGTGGAAACAGTGGATAATACAGCGATTAAGTAATAATGGGAAGAGCCAGAACAGCTATCGTGATTCGAAAGAAAATATACGCATGTTATTAGAGGTTAAGAGGTCATGACTAGCTAACTGATTTTTTAACGGGTTATGGATTTCAATTAGGGTTTCCGATGTGCGGATGATGAGTACACGTAGTGTACAGAAATAGTTGTTTTTAGTGACAAAACGCAAGCACATCGTTTTACGGTGGGTGGGTGGACAATGCAGAGCTTTCTGTAAATGCGTAGTGTTCGAAGTCCTAGCGCACTTACTCAAAGTGTGAATAACATTCGCAACAATACAAAAAATCTCATATGCACACAGCAGTAAAGCATTCGATGCGAGTGGCGCTATGACGAACACATACCGAGGCGTCTCTCGAAAGCCATCACTGCTTCCCGGCTACCATTGATTCGTGTGACGTCCTTCAGATCCCAGCGACAATTAGGATGAAACAGGTAGCGCGAATCAACCTAAATAGGGAAAAAATAGTCAGTGGCAAAATGTTCGGAAACCACACGGCAGGGTAGCAAGTAATTACAGTTGGGTGCACCGAAGTGTAGGATAAACGAGTTGACAGGCGAGGATTTCAGTCTAATCAGTAAAGTCAAAACCGTCCGGTTACGGTGGCATCTGGTTCAACCACAGGAGGTTTACTTACCGGATCTAGGGACCAGAGATTAGTGGTTCTTTCTGTGTCACTTAGTTCACTCGAGATAGCTCGCTGCTTACGGCACAAATTTGCTGAACGCAAGGCCTGTAGTCCGAATCCAACCAAGACATCGCGACTTCACCCGTATAAACTTGGAAAACCTGACAGTATCTCGGTCTTCGTGTATCTTTCGATTGGCATCGTAGCTACGCACCGAAAGCCTATTACTGTTGAACGACTGATTTCGCTGTTTGGTAGAAAAGTAAGGGAAACAATGTTGCTAAACTTCAGACAGTCTGACGTAAACTCAACTTGGCCTCTCTTTGGCTGGCTTATTAGACGAGTCGTCCATTTAAAGTAATGAAACTTTTGCTCGTTAACCATACCACGCGTCTGTTCCTCAGGTGTTAACACGGAATGGCTCGCCTATCAGATCCACTGCTTCCTCCTGGTCAACAACGGATCAGCTTGCCAGCAACAATTAACAGGCTTTATTCCTCTCGCATGAGAAATAACTCAGTGGGTCGCAAGACGTCTCTCAATAAAGATGAAGGGTCAGTAGAAAACCGGAGAGTGATTTTAGTGTTCTAGTGTTTTATAGCATGGCTATAATAACCAGGAATTGTTTTGTGGTAAACTGAAAAACGTACGACAAACTGCGAGTGCTTCTATCCACTTCACTGTTGTCGCTGAACAGTGTACAAAACATACTCACAATATTTGTGTAGCTTCCTCCTGCTCTACTGTGCCTTATGGCACTAAGTTTTCCTGGTTAATTAGAGAAGCGCATTTCGATGGGGTCAGGAGAATACACACCCTTCGGACACTGCAGACGGGAGAATTGAAGAGCTAAACCACGCTAATGCGAATGCATATTCAGAGTTGATTCAAACACTGACACAAAACAAGGAGTGACAAGTGTTCGCAAAGTCATTATTCTACTGAAGGGATGGAGAAAATGTGATCCTCTGCTGTGACAAGGACATGACGTAGGGGGCATCGCTGGGTCAACCCAAGTACAACAGCAAAAGAGCCATTTATTCATGAAAAGGAGGGGGGAAGAAGTGTTCCTTGTTCGTATGTTGTGTGTACAGGGGAAAACTCATTAAAAAGGCTTTTTTTATTAACATTACTACTTGCTTGGAGTTTCTTCATAATAAGCAAGCACTGAAAGGGTGTCTCACAGTTTTGGTGGAACAAATGGAGACGGCATGTGGCGACGTCCGACCGAAGCGGATAATTAGTCAGATCAGACCATTTGGTTATACTACTTTGTTTAACACCTCATAGGTACTTCATGTTGAGCTGAATGCGTTCTATGAGAGATTTTAGGTTGTTAGTTGGGCCGGCTACTAGGTTCGAGGAAATCACTTCCTCATTGGAAACAATTGCATGTTCGGTAGGCTTCTCACTGGGGAGGAGGCTACTAAACTGATACGGCCTATTTAGACGTGTAGCACGGAAGAAGGCGCTAGCTGTTGAGGCGAAAGTGTCTTCAACGGCAGTTATGGTGTAGTAACCAAAACTTCAGACACAAGCCACTCTCATTTTATTAATTCTTCAAAACACAGAATAGGAGGCCATTATGCGAAGAACAAAATATGACCAGAGTCCTACTGTAAAGACCCCAAGGCACCACACATCCAAAGAGACTCTTACCGAGTCCACATTGATCGGGATACAGAGACGTTGGAACAGGACAGAAATATTGAGCATGAAACCCTCACCACTGAGGAAACGATGATCGCATTGGATTTTCGCGTGGTCTGCATTAGCCCGCAGGACATTGGTTAGGTAGTCGAGCATTTCGGTTCGGGTGAGCTGCAAGCAAGAAATCGACTCATTAGATTGCACTATTTGGAGTCAATCATTGGACCATAAACAAATGTATCACGGTAGTTTCCAGCAAAAAACGACTACCTAGCATTTCTATTTTATCCACCACGTATCTGTCGTTGAAACTGACAAAAAGTGGACTGCTGAAGTGATGTGAACGAATGTGACATAAATGAAAGTGTCTATTGTGATCGAAGGGAAACAAGTAATGGATCGTGCGCGATACATAACCAACAGAGTGGAGCGCATGTAGATCCCCACAGCGGCCCAATGCTACTGGGAGCATTGCAAGCCTGTTACAAAATTGGCTCCTTCTCTCGCAATTACTCCCAGCAAATCCGAGGATTTTATTGCTTGATTTTTTGTGTCAACCTTCAAGGCTCCGGAAAACCACATCTCAGCATCCCAGCTTTCTACGTTCAGGCACAATGGACCGTCCTGAGTCTGCGTACAATCGACTACATCCTCAGCATGTGCTGTGACGGTCCCATTTTCCATAACGGTCTCTGGTTTGCTGTGCCGTCTACCATAGTACGCCAAAAAACACGACAGCCTGGGACAAATTGAGGTAATCAAAGATTCTCACCAGCAGCACTTAGTCAATATGGACAGGAGCTGACATGAAGCCACCGACGCCGGTTAGCAACCATATAGTTCAGTGTCTTCAATCAAGCACAGGTAGGGTGACGTGGACCTCATCCTTGAAGGTAAATAGCATTGACAGCGTCCAAAATTTTCGTAATATCCTTCATTCCCTTCTCCTATGTCAAATACTCTCCACCTCTAGGTTTCCGCCACTACAAATTAGGCATATAAAACGAGGCATTTCTTGGCGAGCGAAGCTCGGCATGCGTGATACACGGCCCAACCAACCGAGCTTACAATGATGGATGCATTCTTTGAGTGAAGTAACTTTTTCTTTACCAACTACCAGTTTACTGATTACCTGATCGCGAATTCGTTCTTTCAAGTCGATTCAGGCGATCTTTCCGAGAAATCGGTGATCGAAGGCCTGAATGTGTCTCGTATCTTCTGCCGGAAATTGCCAAATCTCGCAGCCATACAACAGCCCGCAGTGTAGTCCTATACACATGCGTGCTTTAACACCTAGTGAAATGTCTTTTTATGCCACAAATGATGCAACTTGGCAAACACAATTCTGGCCGTTGAAATTAATGAGATGACTTCGTCTACCGCCAGAGCTAACGCAACTATCGAGATACGTATAGTGTTCCATAACATCCAGGGGAGAGATGGCTCAGTGGTTGGAGCGCGAATTTACTGACCGGAAGGTTCGTGGTTCGAACCCAACCTCTGCCTCTCGACTTCCCCTGTCTAGGCTTGGGCAACCTGGCAGTCGCTCAGCCCTCGTACTTCCTTCGGGTTGCATGGCAGCTAAGCACCGAAAGGGTGTTATAGATGAACGGTTATTAGTTATTATTATTTAACATCCAGGATCACTCCTTGAGTTCTTCGAGGGGTGATAAAAGACTGCCTAACTGAACGATTCAGGAGCTCACCTTTTTACAGACAACTGAGTCGTTGCTATCAGGGATCGTTTTGCTAAGTCCCTTCCTCATTCGCGTTTTATTCTTTCTTCACAATGAGGCTTTCAAATAAACTATAGTTGTAGGGCAACGAAGCATCTGTGTTCCACACGAATAATGTGGCATTGATGACAATCATCATCATCCTCTTCAATGACAGCAACATCAGATGGAAACAATGGTTTTTCACGGTCGTAAGCGGTGATGACGACGTTTGTACGAATGATTGCATATTTTATAAGCTGCAGCTTTTTCTCCACCAGGCACGTGGATACTGATCAAAACATATACTCTGGGACCCTACAACATTAAGGATTCCTTGTACAAGAAGCAAAATAGCTGAGTCGAAAAGGCCTATTGTGGGAAATAACAAGAACGAAAACAAGGAGGGGACATCTCCATGCTAGTCGTAATTTAATTGATTAATTGAATAGATTTTATTCTAGGTTGGCATCTTATCAGCCACGACGTCCACTGGACTCGCTGTCAAAGCAGACAAAACCCCTGAGACTCACTTTGCCCAATAACGTTTTGACAAGACTGAACTGCTGATTCCAAATCAAGTCGTAGGACAACCGAAGTGCTTGAGTGGTTCGCTCCGCTTCATGTTCCAAATGCGTGGATTTCGGAAATGCGGTTTCCACTACAGTCGGCTGGAATTAAAAACAGGTGAAGCTTAGTCTTGGTTCTCAATGCCTTGAAATTTATGGAGAAAAAACATACCATTAACGATTAGCTAGATCCTAGAAGTCCCCAATCAAGCTCAAGTCTATGGGAAATTTCATCCACTTCGTCAGCACTCTCTTGAAAGTAGAACTACAAGCCACACTGTTCAAGCGCCTACGGGTACGGAGAATGCAAGGTTCGTGGCGTAGGGTGATAACGCAGTGCGACATTCAACCATTGCTGAGTATCCTCCGAGTTTGGCAGTAGGTTTGCATAAAAACTGTTTCTAGAAACAGTTACGCTGCCGGACTATACGTGTTGTGACCGAAACCTGAGTGTCTGGTCAATAAGACGAGGAAATAAGTCTGTTTGTGGATGAGGCACGCTCGCGATGTCCACAGATTACACGGATGGGTGCAAGCGGGCCTACGTGATCAACCATTATCAACCCTTCATATGGTTCCTGAAAACATGGAAAACAGGTTTCCGTTGGTGAATGAGTGAACCTAACCCCGAATATGTGATCCCAAAAGTGATTGGAAAAAACAAGCAAGTGTACAGTCGCATCAAACCCCGCTACTCACAAAATTCAAGTAATCAGAGCGTAAATGGAATCTTCATTCACTGGAGTGTCAGCCATGTTTGGGGGTTGAGGCTGATCGTTGCAACCACTGAGAAAGTGGCTGACATAATGACTGTAAATAGGTTCATATTAGTTCCGAATAAGAGTAGAAACTTACATCATCGTCGGCAAACACAGATGCAGCGAAAAAGGGGCCAAGGAAACTGAGTCGTTCCATAGTACGACCCTCGATTGCCGATGAATTGACGGACGGTGGGTTCCAACAGGGTAGTTTGACAATCTAGGAAAAGCGATGCGCGTTTAGGCAGTGTTGCTCAAAATTGACTGTGGGAATTACGAGATAAGCAAACCCATAAAACAAAAGCACAGTAACGTGGTGGATGGCTGCAGTTACTGCCCAGAAGTGTACCAGCACCGTTATCGAACCCACTACGATTCGCTACTGGCAATGCAAGGTTCGTGGCGTAGGGTGATAACGCAGTGCGACATTCAACCATTGCTGAGTATCCTCCGAGTTTGGCAGTAGGTTTGCATAAAAACTGTTTCTAGAAACAGTTACGCTGCCGGACTATACGTGTTGTGACCGAAACCTGAGTGTCTGGTCAATAAGACGAGGAAATAAGTCTGTTTGTGGATAAGGCACGCTCGCGATGTCCACAGATTACACGGATGGGTGCAAGCGGGCCTACGTGATCAACCATTATCAACCCTTCATATGGTTCCTGAAAACATGGAAAACAGGTTTCCGTTGGTGAATGAGTGAACCTAACCCCGAATATGTGATCCCAAAAGTGATTGGAAAAAACAAGCAAGTGTACAGTCGCATCAAACCCCGCTACTCACAAAATTCAAGTAATCAGAGCGTAAATGGAATCTTCATTCACTGGAGTGTCAGCCATGTTTGGGGGTTGAGGCTGATCGTTGCAACCACTGAGAAAGTGGCTGACATAATGACTGTAAATAGGTTCATATTAGTTCCGAATAAGAGTAGAAACTTACATCATCGTCGGCAAACACAGATGCAGCGAAAAAGGGGCCAAGGAAACTGAGTCGTTCCATAGTACGACCCTCGATTGCCGATGAATTGACGGACGGTGGGTTCCAACAGGGTAGTTTGACAATCTAGGAAAAGCGATGCGCGTTTAGGCAGTGTTGCTCAAAATTGACTGTGGGAATTACGAGATAAGCAAACCCATAAAACAAAAGCACAGTAACGTGGTGGATGGCTGCAGTTACTGCCCAGAAGTGTACCAGCACCGTTATCGAACCCACTACGATTCGCTACTGGCTGGTTAGAGACATTGTCAGGCATGGCCCAGTCGCGCCGTCAATGGCACTCGTGCATCCAGACTATTGCCCTCAATGCATAGCTCCTTTTCCAACCCTCCCACTTGACAGCCCACTGACAGTCCTGGATTTATGCACCAATTTATCATCTCCCGCCTGCAATACGCAGCCACCTATCCCCCCCCGCGAATCATCGGTGAACGAAACTGCGGCAGCTACATCCACTGTACGACGGAAACGCGGTTATTACAGCTGACAATGATGATGATGACTGGTTGTTTTTGGGGCGAATCGTCAACTTCTCATCCGACAAGAATTCATAAGTTCGCCATTTCAAACAACAGCTGGGTCACTCATCCAATTTCGATTTCGTCACTTGGAATATTCACTGAAACCAACTACATGATTTCCCCCGCTATGTATATCAATGTCTTTCTCTTGTCGATAATCCTCTAGCACGGGAGTCATGCACCGTTGTGGCACCAAAACTAAGCAATCAAGAGAGTAGGGACATCCTATGAGAGAACGACTGACTGGATATCTGGTATCATGACATGAACTGTTTTTTTTTCGCGCAGTGTGCGATTTCACAGAAAATGGAAAATGATGGAGAAAATCAAGGGAAACAAACTTTTTCAAAGACATACAAAGGCTGTTGAATCGGAAATGCCATTTGAATTCAGGATTTGGCGGCTAAATTTTGCTGGTAGACATTCTCTGTATCAAACACGGCAAATTGAAACCAAGATGTTATGTTTTTAGTCAAGGGAGATAAACTTCCAGAGAGTTTATAGTTATCACTCCCCCCTCCCAGTCAAAAAGCGATCGAACTTTCTTATTTGGCCACCTGCAGCAGCCATAGGCTGTCTTCAAAGCCTGTCTGTGGCCATCTGTGACCACTGGATTCGAGTGCTGAAGATCAGTTCAAGAACGCAATAGCGGTGCCGCACCTTGTCATTTCCCTGCCTTGGGATAGTTGTTTGACTTATCCTACTCATGTTCTTACCCAGAGTGTATCAAATACAGCATAAGAATAGTTTCTTTCCTACTTTACATGGAGAATTTTGAGTGGTTCGGATTTTATACGGTACGTTAGAAACAACGTTAGATAGGTATAAATGTTCAAACTACTAAACAGGTTCGAAACTCTTTAGAATTTCGTCAGGTGCGCACTACTGAGGATCCCCAATAAGGATAAAACAGCCATTCACCACTTCTTAGCTCAGACTGGCTTCATTCACAGGAAGGAAACTAAATCTACTCAAACTAATAACAATTAGAAGGGTTGTTGAACAGATTCAGGGATTAGTGAAACACATTCATTTCAGAGCCAATTTGGTTTTCACCTGAATCTCTTGTTTGCGATACTCTTATTAAGAGAGCAAGAGTGACCTGTGCTGAAAGATGCTCAACCAAAAACGGCCTTATAAAACTGATGTACACCAGTTTTGTTCGGTCGCAGAAACTACTCGGACACTGCACTCTAGCAAAACACCAAAGCAATCACGACGACAACCGCGGATATCGGTTCAATTCACAAGAAAACGATTGTCAAGTGAAGATAGTAGAAAGAACTGAATTAGGCGCCACGGCCTGCACATATGGCTTGGATGAAGCATCGACAGAAGCACACATACCTGCCATTCTTGGGCAGGAACAGCAAGTTGCACCCGTTCGTTCTTTTAGGTGCAGCATACCCAGGTGAGCCCTCAGTGATGTGCGTCACCGTGTGAAGTGCAAAGGAACGCATTGAAACTTGGCAAACTTTATTTCAATCCTTAAAAACATCATACACGAGAGGTTCAGCTAGGTGCCAGGCGAGTTTCCCGTCAAAACAAAATTGACATGCAAATTTGTGTATTTATTGAAATCTTTGTTTGAGGGCAATTGAGGTAGAAATAGAACAAGACAAAAGGCGGATCTAGAAAAGAATGATAATGAGGAAGATTCACACAAATGCGAGCAGCTTCGATATCAGTAACACGAGGGCATAGCAATCACGCCTACGAACGACTTTACCGGCTATCAACAGTACATGATCAATCAATGGCACATTCTAATTCAAGCCATTTTCGTCAAGACAAGCCGAGCAAAGATTATGCAGTTGAGTACTGATCGGAAAAGGGGACAAATGAATAGATCCACTACGATATACCACATGGAGTGTTTCACACGTATCAATGGTAATGTTGAAACAGAACAACCATATCTGACACATCCCTTTTCCCAAAGAGAGGACGCTGCTCCGGGGCTACCCGAGTGCTGCCCGACTCCTCCTCACGCCCGGAAACGCCGAATACCTCACACTACGGATAAGGAGAGTAATATAATACAACATGGATTTCGAACTTTCGGAATTTACTGGATGAGGACAGAGCCGCACCTACACGATGACAAAGAATGAGGCTGCTGGGACTTGAGTACGGATTTGAAGAAGTGTGAGACAACTAACATGGGAAACGCTCAGCTATATCAGTCCGAACACGGTGCACGCTACAAACCATTTACAGTATCCTCGAGCTGAGTGAATCCTGGACATCATTGATTGTCCAGCAGCAACGCTCGAAATCGTAGCCATATAGTCATCACAATATGTGAAAAATCAGTGCGTAGCAGGGTGGGAACAAGCAGACAAACATTACCAGTTGAGTGATAGGCCTGGAACCGTCCACGAGACAGGTGTTGCATAAATTGGCCAAGCCGGAGAGTACTTGACCATGCTGTTGACTGCCCATTGAAATATGTCGAATTCGAAAGTGCAACGTCATAAGAAGTTGTTCGAAAATCTGAGCAAAGTGAAAAAGTGGCAGCAACTAACCGGCGTGGTGGGACTAGTAATCGTGGGGCTGGAAAAGTTAACACAGATTATTCAAATCTAAAACACATAAGAAAGTCAGCGGCGGAGCTGAACTGAATACTTTAGGAGGCTGGTTCGGTGATCTGAACCATGGCAGCTGGATGTATTACTCCAAAACTTTTCGGGTACACAGTCCGGCTGATGAACTTTACGCCACAGAGACTAGGTAACAGACAATGGCTTTGAGCACACCAATTGGTACAAAGACTTCGAGTCTAATCAGCTATCAGTTGGAAAGCGGTATTTCTAATAGCCCCAGTTGTGTAGCACTGCATAGGCGTCTCTAAGCTGCGTTGTGCTTGCTGTCTCTCGTGGAGTTCGGCTGCCTGAGGCACAGCACCACGATGTCAACAAAACGGTCATAAAACGTCGACCCAAATTGCCCCACAGAACAATGTGTTAAATGTAAGTAATCGGTATCCGAGTGGATGTATTCGGATACTGAGACCGGTCTGCACCCACTGACAAGCACATCCGGAGATAGATTGTTTTGTGACTCCCAACTGTAGGTTGGTGTGGACACAGATTACGCAACTGTCCAACGGTGGCAGTAATAAGGCTATCACAAACATGGCATTAATACAATAACCCATGAAAACTACCAGAATTGCCATTCAAGAATAATATCCTTTAGTGTTGTGCCTGGTGGACTAACATGACCCAGTAGGCGTTGTTATCCGTCAAAGTCAAACCGAACCCTTTATCTGTAAACTGAAATGATATACACCGCGAAAAATAAAGCCAGTTATGTTTGTCGCCACATTAAATTTAACGACCTGTGTCCGGTAGGAAATTAGCTTGAGCAGAAAGGAAACTTAGAAATCAGACGAACAGGCCTTGGAAAAAAACGAGGTAAAGCCGAAAGATGATAAAGGAACATGACAGACGTCTAAGAATACCACTCCTAAAAATTGTTTCGTCCTGAAATATGTACGAAACCCTTCCGGCCGCTTTGACTGAGTGCCTAGGAAACATGAAAAGCGACGAACGGAATCCAATAGCCCGGTTTCAAAATAACCTAGTTGACCCAAAAGTTCTTTAATGCTATGAGGTTAGGACTGCCAGCTGATTAGTCAAAAGGCTTCTCTTGAGGAAGAAGCCTGATATTGGTGAGTTGTGGGTTGCTGCTTTATGTTGGAGTATCCCATCCTTCTTCTTACCCATGGATGCTAACAGTAAATGCCCCAATGTCAAGATATATACGCGAGTCTTCGACGACGATCAGTACTGTTGTTTGGTTTATTGAGCAAGTTGATATAATTTCAAAGCCACGTGAAAGCAGACAGGCCTTACAAGTCCTGTGCTTACAACCAGTGCGGCCACCGAAGTGTCCAGAGAAGTTGAAGCGCTTCGGAAGCGAAGTCCAAATGACTCAGATGGCCTAGTGTTCGTTGCATCCGTTGGCACCGAAGCGCACGGAGCTGCACAGTGAATGATGACGAAAGGAAAATTCTTAAGGATGCAGAAGTCAGCTTACGTAATACGATGCTGGTTTGTTTGGCTCCCTAATTCTCGATGGGTCTACTTGAACAGTTATTATCGTCACTTATAGCCACGATTAAACGAAGGATGAGATACAGTAATGAGACAAAGCCGCGGTTCACGGATCCCCGATCTAGATCTGATTTCTGTTGCACCAAGCGAAGCTGTTGAGAACATGCAGCCATAACTCCATTTTAATGAAAAATAGTGAGGTAAACTAGCTGGCCGAGTTCTTAATGGGTTTCTCGAACGAATTTGCTAGACGCTGCTTAACGCGAACGAAGAGCCGTGAAACTCGTCCATTCACTCAGAACTTCCCGGAAGACTAATAAGAAGAAACAACTGAAATCCATTTTTCAAACTTATACTGAAGAGGCGGCATTCGGTAACCGTGACACTGATCATGTGACACCAATATACTGTTTTTCAACAAGCCTCTGGGAACTCAGCGAGTGACACTATAAGGAACATTATAAGTATCTTGGGTGTTCCATTAGTACTTTCGACAGTGTAACAGACGAATTCTATGCACGAATCAGAAAATCCAGGATTGTTTCTATCCATTTGCGTCATTTGTGGCATCAAAAGGCATATCGCCGGGTCTCAGAGGACACGTCTATCAGACTACGGTGCGGGCTGTACAGCTGCAAGATTTGGCCACCTCAAGCACAGGATGAGTTATCTTAGGGCATTTGAGTACGGATGTCTCCAGAAGCAGCTGAAACCGGCTGCAATCAGTGAATTCAGGAAGACCTGATGACGAGACGGGTTTTTTGATGAAGCAAGTGGTACTTCACTCAAAAAAGTTAAGCATGCCAAGTTACCGCTTGCCGAGACCAGCGTTGTTTTCCGTGCACAATTCGGAGTGGTGTAAACCTAGAGATTTACACAATTTGACACAGCAGAAAGGAATGAAGGATTTTTAGAGTGTCTGCACCGTTAGTGCTGTTCGCTTTCCAGGAAGGAATCAACGTGACTCTCCCTGTGCTTGGCTGGAGGCAGTTAACGATATAACATCTAACCGATGCCCATGGCGTTCATTCTACCACATTTTACTGATTATTTGACTCAGGGTTGGGGGTGTAGGCACTTGGCCTGTTTGGTGTGGAATAACCCTAGGCCCTATCCCCTGTCCAGTTTATTTATTGTTTGCATAATGAGGTTTTATTCAAATAAATCGCCATTGCTGTAGGAAAGCGAAGCACTAGGGTTCTCATCTGGTGCTGCTCTCAGTGATGGCGACGATGATATCGGCTTTCGAATGTACACGTTTAGTTGTTTAACTTCTTTGCTAAGTAGCCTTTCGTGCATAATCCGCATAATTTGTGTACCGTGACACATATTCTACCCATAATAATAAAAACTGATGAAGGAACATTCTTCATCAGCACTTTCTGAGATATACTTGCAGATATCGGATAAAATTAACTAACTGCGACATTATATGAGACATAGACGAAAGTGCTCCCAGAGGAACCATTCCACTATGTTGGTGACTAGGGCAAGTCACTGCTAGAATTTTCCGGTCGATCGAGCCGAGAGGCAAGTCGGATGAAGCGAACTGCCTTTGAAAACGAATAATCAAATTTTACGGCCGAGATGTATTCACCTTTAAGATATCTGCACCAGCTAGGTAGTATTTTCCTGTCGATTTTTAGAGTAGCAACTGTAATTTGGTGGTGAGTGGTTCCCAAAAAGATGACTGACAACGACTTCGGATACGATACTCGAGCTGCTCTTCTCGGGCTACAATAGATGTATTTCCGCAACCTGAAAACGAGGAGTGTCAACACAATTGGGTGTCATTTTCACAGTGAAATTCTCGTGAAGTTGGCGTAAGGAGATAGTATCTTAGAAAACACGGAAGCTTGTAAATTCAACTTCGAAAACATTCAGTTAGCGATTGTTTTACTAAGTTCTTCAAAACTGAAAATCTCTCAGGGAACCAGAAAAATATGGTCAACCGCTCCAAATAAAGTACGCACCCTCTGCATGGGATATTCAAGTGCGCATCCCAAGGAAGAAGCCTGCTTTTGTGTGGCCAACTCTAGCTGAAGCTCACCGAGTAGACTACACAGAACTTCATCCGCGCCCGGCGGTGGCTCCAAGCGTTCTTCTGTGATGACGGAATGGAGAGGTTGCCCGTAGGCATGAGCATTCGCCAAAGTCCACAGAGAGGCACAAACAGGGAGAATGCCAGGGATAACCAGACGAATCAGGGGTGATTCGATCAACTCAGAAGCAAGCCAAGGATCACCAGGAGTATGCGAAACCTGCCTGACAGATTGTGTGTTGGTGAAAAGACCTTTGAGGATAAGTCGGATGTGAAGGTACAACTGGCGGCTAAGCTCTTCTAACAGTTCTGTCACCAGGTAACTGTTGGAATCACCTGTCTGAAAAGGAACCAACAAGATTCAAGACTTATGACGTTAAAACGTGACTAGACTAGACAATACAATGGTGATCAATGAAAAACACGACCGAAACAGGTCAGATTTCAGGCGAGTCCGATTAAACAGACTAGAATCGAACTTACTATGGTTGATATATCTTAAGCCTAACTATCGCATAACATTCTGTCGACTGTATCATCTGCAGGCATGTTGGGTTTCAAATATAGGCATTAGGTCCGATTCCCCAGGTCTTAGTAGCAAATGTCGACAAAGCAGGAATCTATGCCAATGACTGCTGGTGCTCCCTTGCACTTCCTTTGTTTTCTCCCAGGCCGTAAACCCACTCTAATATTGGCTTGAATGAAATTAATCTCGGTCACTGGGTTTCAGATGAGCCTCCTGCAGAAATCGACATACCTTTAAGTTCGTTTACAAACCCAGTCTCGATTTCACTACAAGAAAAATGTGATAGGGGCGAGATGGCCCAAGTGGTTAGAGCGCGAATTTACTAACTAGAGGGTCCGTGGTTCGGACCCGACCTCTGCCTCTCGACTTCCTCTATCTAGACTTGGGCAACCTGACAGTATTTCAGCCCTCGTGCAACCTTCAGGTGGCATGGCAGTTAGGTACCGCAAGGGTGCGACGGCTGAACAATTTACTTTTGATTGGTGTACGCCAAAGACGGTTCTGGGTCGTTCCCGACAACGCTTCTAAACAAATACAGTCGTTGTTGTTCGCACCCCAGCGGGAAAGTTTACAAAAGCCAACAGCGAACGGTCGAGCTGTCTTATGTTTGGCGACGCATCGACTTTTCTGTCCTTCTCCAGGATGTGCAAAGACAGAATGCCGTCGGGTTGCTACCCCTAGTACACGCCCCAGGTAGCGGGGTCACTGATGAGTTATGATATGTCGTCGCATCTCACCAGCCAATTCCACCAGACGTGGGAGGTGTGCAGTGAGCACTGACAGTCGCCTGATATCTCTACTTCCAGAAGACCAGGTCTCACAACCGTATGAGTGTTGGACGAACCGGCGCGTTATAATCCGACCCTTCCATTAGAAGCTGGTGTCGCCACATTCACTTTAGACAGACGAACAGTGACCCATCCTCAGTGATCCTCGACCTAACTTCGGCAGTTATGCGTCCGACTGCAAATGTCTGACTATCCAAGTAAAAAAAATAAATAATCGTTCAGCTGTAACACCCTTTTTGGAGAAACCGAGACCTAGAGTTCGGGTTCGAGCCGCGGACCTCCCGGTCAGTAAATTCGCGCTATAACCACTGAACCATCTTGCCCCCGTGTTGGGATATTGGTAGCTTGGGTGCTTACTGGTGGTTGATCAACGGCTATCCGATCCACCACCAGGTCGTTTGAGAATAATGCACAACACTTAGAGGGACACCGGCAGAAACAATGGGCAATTTCCCATTCGCATCTCCGTCCATCAAGGTAATTTCAGGGGGGGATATTTTAAATGTTGGCCGGCTTGTGCGAAACCTAAAAACCCATTGCACAGTAACCTTACCTGATCAAAAGGCGAGGGTGGTGGGACTGTGAAGTCCACTGCAATATCCGGGCGCATCTGTCCGCTTCCTACATTTATGTTTATAGAAGTGCTGAACGATCTCAAACAGAAACAACAATGCAAGAATGGCCGCATTACACTGGACATAGAGTAGGCAGAGCAATGACGAAAGGTAGTACTTCATGCATATGATGTATCTTCTGCAGATGTATTGTTTTTTTTCCTTTACATTTGGTAGCACTTCTGCCATGCGTGACTGTTGTAGCCTATAATGATCTTAGTAACTTTATGCGCCTAGCGTAACTGATGCCAATTTCGTAGCGTTTTGGAACTTGTCGGTGGCCACATTTCCCCTTGGATTGAAGTCTGCAGTGTCACAATGGTATGAGGGGTAATAGAACATTTAGACGGGTGTGATGAGTGGTGGGCATACGAATTAGATAGTACTATTAAATTTTGACGCCATTTCATAGTGAAATCGGTTATGGAGCTCCCAGGGAACGGTACAGGAAGTATCAAGACCAAAGTATCCGAACAGTTTAAACAATCCCGAGATAATTTGAGAGAACAGCTTGACAAACAATTGCCGCTTTTCTGTACCAGAAATTCAAGGGTACGCAAAGTTTGCATAAGTCGGTGCTGTAAACATCTTCGTAACGCGCGATGGTCACCCCGACAACTTGCTGAGTGTTTACCCATAGCGTCGCAGTTGACGGCGTGTGTGAGCGGTAGCGATACATAGTTCAAGAAATGCCCAAACACTCACCTTTGTGGAATTTTGACGTTCTTTTTCCTCACGCAACTTGGAGATACAAATCGTGAGGTATTCCATTTGAAAGAAATTTGGCATATTCATTGAATTTTTGCTTGCGTTTCCCAACGCCTGGTAGGCAGCGGATCGAATTTGAAACAGAGCAGTAGACAGGAGATCAAAGCACATGGCAGCATAGAATCCTGAAAAAATTAAACCAAAGAAGGATACTAACGGGTACTGGGGTTATTTTCGGTTGCCTCTTGAAAAGGGTTGTCAGTGAGGCATATGAGGACAACCCCATCAGAGCCCCTTAACAGCACTCCACCGCGGGATTGCTCGTCACATGTTAGTGAAAAGATGCGCAGTATGAGGTCGACTACACCAGCATGAAGATCTTTGTGTGCCTTGGCGTTTTCGCCGTGAACAGTAACATGCGGCTTTTCCGAAGGAGACATTCTGCATGTACTCCACCCCGCACCGCCCGCGGTAGGTACCTCACGTGAAGACAATTCAGAAGAGTTTACAACCACGGATTCCAGTGGCGCAGAAGTATCCATATCTGCTTCTGATTCCCCACCTGCTGGGACCTTCGTAAACGTCTATGAAAAAAACGATGGGAAAAGTACTTCAACAGAGCTTTCTTGGACCTTCCGTTCTTTGGACTCGACTCCGACAAAACTATGGAGTTCCAAACGTGCTATCCGCTTCTTACGCACCTTCGAATGATACAGTAACTACAAGAGGTTCAGTGAATCTACCTCATCGGTCGTATGGGACATATCAAACAATACACGAACTGAGCGTTGAACGTGACTGCACCGGTTGGCCGGATTCCACGAGTACTAACTGCTCATTGGTCAATTACGAGAACGCCGCCGGGGTGCCGCGATTGATGTCACGGTAAATTCCCTGGGTTCTTGGCGAGGCTCAGTATTCGCACAATGGAACTGATTTCTCGAAAGGCACGGTGTTTTCAGGGTTACCACTTCATATTGTAAAACGTCTATGTGTAATGACCTATCATGCAAATTATCTACATGGGCTATCAGTTTACGAGAACGAAGCATCGAAAACCGATTGTGGGCACGTTGCATAATTTAATGGTACCGCGAATGGTGGTATAAGGTGAATCGCGCACAGTGAGCGCAACCTGTAGACATTTTCGCATCTGAACTAAATTGTTGAAAATTCTGGAAACTACCCGGCCACTGTGGACGGAAAATATACGGCAATGCCACTCCCGTAAATAGTTATTGCTTTATAATTGCTATTACGGGTTGGAATCGCGGCAGCAGAATCCGTCATTGCCGAAGAAATCGTGCAAGTTTGTTGATAAACATTAGAGTGTTTAATACAACCTGCGAAACATGTCAGTACGACCGTGACATCGGTCAGATCGGACGGCTGAACGAACGTAGCCGACGCACACGACCAACATGCGAATAGGAGTCTCTCAGTGCAGCCCACAATTTCTCAACAAGCGTGCGAAGCCACTTCTGAAGCCATGGCACAGCAACTCCAAATTGAAGTGTGGGCCCAAACTTAGAATCACGGACCCACGGATTGCTACACAAGATCGAGGCTTTCGGCCAAGTTTCCCAGGTTGGTATTGTTCTTTTCGTCCAGCGCTGTCATTCACCTGAAAGGCACAAGTGAAAAGGGTGTAGCACTGATTTTTGATTTCTCAGCGTGGGACGGCTGCCCGCGTGAACAGCCGTCGGAAGAAGTTCTTCCACTCGAAATAAGAGATAATTTTGCCCAATGAAAGTGTGCGCTCTGTGCTTGAATATCTTCTTACCATGTTCTCGCCGCTTGCTAGCAGAGTCAACGGCGAAAAACCTGTTGGCCAAACCTTGTTCAAATAGGATATAGGTAAGAGCTAGGTCCCCTCGGGGGTGACGATACCCTAGGGAAAAGGGAACACCGCGAGACGGGTTTCGTAGTCCACGGGTTTGAGGCCGGCATCCATTTTCGTAACAGCTCACCGACCACGCTCAATGAGTGTGACGCTTTTCGTGCGTCCTGAGTAGACAACTTGTTGGCATGTTCAAGGAGCGGTCTGGCATAGGCCCCGTAGAGTATTTGAAAGTCCATGCGAGTAATACGAGATAAGGTGCGCCCGAATCATCCGTAGAACGGCGAAGGCTTTTGAGCCAATTTATCATGGTGCAGTGAGAAATGTGTTTGATGAGAGCCAGATACACGAATCCTTTCTGGTGTCTATCCACATGATGTTTTCTAGTCCTTTCTCATGAAATATAACGAGGGGATTTGCTGAGTCTACTCCAAGTAATATATGGGCGCGCTTTTCGCCATTAAGAGAGAGGTGCCAGTCCGACGACCACTGCTTTGCAGCGTCCACATCCATTTGGAGGGCACTGGCATTGGAACCTCAGGATTTCAAGTCGTCCTCAAAAAGTAGACATGGACTTGCAAGAACATCTTAGAGGTCGCTGACGTGTATCGAAAACGGCGGTGGCCCCAGAACGGAGCCTTGAGGAACTCCGACGGAGAACAGCGCTGAAAAGGATTAGTACAAACCTACTTTCACTCAGAATGATCTGCCTGATAAGAAGGTCTTGAAAGCAGAAAGTAGAAATAGAATGGCTGCAGGTGAGTATGGCAGTCCCGTGACATCACTGCAGTGAAACATTACGGTTTCTGGGCTGCCCCGTAACGGACGTCAAGATCGCGTTGATCAGACTGGGGAAGTGCATTCCTGGATTCAAGTTAAACAAAGATATTGACAGGGAAAGTTGGGCAGATGCGAGATCACAGTTTTAGGTCCAGTTGAAGGTTCGAACGGATACAAAGCAGGAACGTAGAATGGACCACGGTTATACAGGACGTTGGGTGCCGGAGGTTGAAGCGCGCACTATTTATACGGAAGAAAACGTCTCTCGTGGTCTCCGTTTTCTGCGAATTTAGTTGATCAATGTGTCCGAAAGAAGAATTTGATGAGACTACATAGGCTAGACGGGATGCAAACGCGGGACAAGTCTTTTCACCAGGCATAGTGCGAGAGGGGAAATTTCCCCGCTGAACGTTTCAGCAGCAGGTTTTTAAACGGAAATTTCAAGAGGTTTTCCAATCTTAGATTTCCAGATGCGATGGGAGTATACGTGGCGGCTTTCTGGCAGGCACGATGAGAACCCAGCTGGTAGTAAAACATTTCCATGCTCTTTATTTCGTTTGTTTTGTTCTTTACTGTCTTTGGGCTAAGTGGTGTCTGCTCACAGAAGTCTCATTGCCGTGAAAGAAAACAAGCGCGTAATCACGTGGTTTATTCTTTCGAGTCTCCTTGCATGATGCTGGCTTCTAAAAAGCGGTTACTGTCATTTGCGTGGGTGGTGGGTCGGGGGCTTTGTACTTTTGTGACAGTATTCCTTATGATTTGGTTGGTTGGTGGCCTGTAACACTCAATTCCAGATCTATAGAAATGGATTGGAAGTCAGCAGAATCTACCAGGAGGACAGGAACCGCTGAAAAGTTAGCAAGTCTAACGGAAAGCACTAGGTCAGAAGACCCAGCAAAATAACGTACGGAACATACAATAGACTGAACGTCTTACTGACCCGCCGGTGCATAAAGCAGAATGACCAATCATGTGAAAGGAAGAAAGCCGCTAATATTGAATACTAAATGTGTAGCAGAACCGAAATGCCGCAGGCTATTGACACACCCATATTGAGTTCGCCGAAACTATAGGGTTTTCGAAGTTGGTGCTTTAATGGGAAGTTAATCTAATCAGTTAGCACCTTCCCGTGACATGTCGCACACAGCATTTTGTTTAAGTGAGCGAAATGTCCAGGTCAATGACCATCGCCGATTTGAATTTTTGCCGGTATACGCGACATAAGACACGAAATCGCACTTTAGCATATTTTGGCGTTCTTCGATTTGCTTGATTTAACTTATCGGCGTATACGAGGAGACCTCATCCTGATGTTCAAGTTAATAAACACCCCTAATCACCCTTTGAAACATTTGTTCACAGTTAATTTGGCCCGACAGACCCGACGGAATCCATTGGCCGTTGACATTCCATGTTCCCGCATTAACTGTCGGCGCTACTTTTTTTCAGTCCGCGTATCCCTCACGTGGAACAAACTACCAACATCTGTTGTGGATTGTGGTAACCTCGAGACTTTCAAACATTCGCTTGACGAATACATAAGATCTCACCCAACTTCCCTCATCAACATTTGAGATGCAGATTACAAACAATAGAACATATATGTCATATCATTCCGTTTATCTGTATACATACACACACACCAATATCCTTTGGTCATTGTAAAGCAAAATGCTTTTTAGACCAATATAACCTTGATTTACCTTGA